CTTGGCTAAACTCCAGCTCTTGAGAACGTTAAGTAAAATAAATGATTGGCGTGCCCGTTGCGCGACAACCTTGGAGCAGTTCGTGTAGTAAGGTCCCCCCCCCCCGCCATTTCAAAAAATGATAAAAAGGCCACTTGAAAGAATATTTCCAAATTTCGGTGAATATTTCACCGGCCGTCCGCCGACAGATGGGGGAAAACACTGATCTGTGCCACGTGACGTTCAGAGGACATTTGGAATAATCCGGGGAAAATAAGACCGCAACTTGTTTCACAAAAATGGATGCGGATTTATGCTGTAATGTTTGGCATGAGAGGGATCACAATTGGCATGTTTCTCGTGCAGCATTGGGGTTTTAGTTGGCAGCTGCAGTTAAGTGTTAGGTGGAGTTATGGTCAGATGTAGGTATAGCGACAGGGTTAGTTTTATTTACGGTTAAAGTGCTCGGATAATAATAATTAACATTTATAAGGCGCGATTTATCTCGGGATCTCAGTGCGCCATGCATGAAATAAGGACATATAAATACTACTGAGTTAAGGTTGGTCTAGCACTTTTAGTATGCCCATCGCTGCAATATTTTTCCGAGCGCTACACTTTTTTTGTAATCACAGCACAGCACAGGGCCGAAATTTTTTTTTGGTACACGGAGTGCCATCGTATTCTCGTGGTCACACGAATCACGTGGGCACGTGAACTAAACTGAACTCGCACGTGACACACACACGTCCAGTGTCTCAACCGCAAGCTTCACAAGTGCAAGTGTTTGTATGGCAGCGTGGTAGGTAATGCTACTCGATGGGCTTGGACGCCTGTTGTCAGTTAAGACATCGGCAGAAAGAACATCAAAATCACATGTGCCGAATGTGTTTGCCTGTGTCTGCAGTGCCAGTGCAATGGTTTTAGCCCAGCGATGAGTGGCAGCCAAGCCTCATCAAATCTGTCTCGAATTTCCGAATGTCCCCGCTCCTCTTAGTAGCCTGCTTGCAAATACCAGCGACTGCTGTTTGAATGTGTACACTTTCTTACAATACCGTGTAGAGTTACGAAGTCATCTATGGCCAAATCACCCCAAATATGCCCAGTCTTCAATCCCATCCATACTCGCCGACTTCAAAACAACTCACAACAGCTGTGGAAAGTCAATGGTTGTTCTATTGGACCAGAGTTGCTATCAAAGTTCAAGGCGCGGCCCTGCAATTGCTCGCTCACGGCACTGCTGGCAGAAGGGTTTCCCAACAAGAGAGATCTGGAGTGCCACTCGACAGCTTATTTTGGCCTTCTCTTCCACAAAAATGGCCAGACGTCTTGGGACAAGTGAGAGAACACACACTTTGATAATTGGTTCTTTACCCTTCTATCTGGCAACAAAACTGACACCTTTTTACAAGGAGTCATGTTTGCATAGACCGCAATACCTGCAGTCATAATACAAACAAAAGAACATAACTCTGATAATGTGCACTGTCCTTGAAGTTGATTGGTCCACACCCGAGACAGCTTTCCTTAGAGCCTAGTCTCATATGGGTTGGACCAGATGACGCCAAAAGTGCGCCTTTTGGCGTCATCTGGTCCAACCCATATGAGACTAGGCTCTAAGGAAAGCTGTCTCGGGTGTGGACCAATCAACTTCAAGGACAGTGCACATTATCAGAGTTATGTTCTTTTGTTTGTATTATGACTGCAGGTATTGCGGTCTATGCAAACATGACTCCTTGTAAAAAGGTGTCAGTTTTGTTGCCAGATAGAAGGGTAAAGAACCAATTATCATATTTTTACTGGCAAATGAGATTCCCATAGAACACACACTTTACCACGCCAGACGTCTTGGGACGAGTAGGAGTACACACACTTTACCACGCCAGACGTCTTGGGAGAATTTCGATCACCTGCGTCGCCAATGAATAGGTTCACCGCCCAACACACGTTTAAGCATATGGACACGGACATGTTAATATTAAATGTACAAACTCGCTTCTACGTTCAAAGAAAATGTAGTGGAGCAGACCAAGGTGCAGTCCCATTTGACTGTGTTACCGCCACACACAAATACAACGTAGGAGCACAAAAGAGTACGGCGCCGTGGCGAGATGTTAACCACCTCGCCTGGTCTACCTGTGGTTGTGGGTTCAATGCGATCCTGACGCCTGCTCTATATTGAGTGTGCGTGTCTTTGTCCCCGTGGTCGCGTTGACTTTTCTCCGGGTCCTCCGGTTTTCCCTCCACGTTTAGAAACGCGTTTTGGAGTATTTGGTTGCTATGAATTTCCACGCAATAAGCCACTTTACTGAGCTATCATTTGTGGCCAGGAAATTTCTGAAAAATAACTTTTTAGCTCAGTGGGCCTTAGTAAAATAGCAAGTTTAGTTGAGAGTAGGCGAGCTTTACCAATCGGCAAAGTCGCCACTCATCCCGTTTGCACGCAGTGCAATGCTGTAACATATAACCAAAGCCCTTACTGGAGGATGTCGAAACGTCCTTATCAGTTAAACTGTCGAGTTATATCTTTAGTGGAAATGGGCAAGTGTCTTTTAAATTTCGAACCTCCTGTCCAATAAGCAGTCCAAATGTGAACACCAGTCGATGAGTAGGTCACGTGTGACGGGGTAAAATGTTGGTCCTTCCCACCACTTCCGAGACGTCTGGCCAGTGTGGAAGAGTAGGCCAAATACCCTCCCCTAGAGGGGGGCTCTCGAGCTTTCACTCGTGGAGGCTCTAGCTCCAGGAGTGGCGCAGGCCAGACATTGCAGGGCTGCACCTTTAATGATCACTTCCCTGTGGTTTCCCTCATCTTCTTGCAAGTCAATTTCAAGTAAAAAAAGAACTTTGAAAAGAAACGCATTTAACTTGCGATATTTTATTACAACTTTTCATATGCTTTTCACAGGCTACATGCACACTGGAGCCTTACAGGTTTTCCAAAATTTACAAAATGGCTACATTCAAATGTTGGCATACGACCGTTTTCGAATCCTTTCGGAGCAACTGGGCAGGGTCTTTGCGGTTGTGTTGCTGCGTCAGCTCTCCGGCGCGTTTTCAGGTGGAACCCGCGAGTCTCCCAGCACGACATTGATGAAGCCCCTTCCGATTCGCACGGCTGACTACGTACGGCTCGAAAGAAGTTCAGCACACACAGGCAGCTCCCAGGACGTGGAGCGAAACGTCAGACATTGTGCCGAACAACACGCGGGAACACCCTGAAAACACGTTGGAGACACGTTTTGTTTGGATGACTAATCTGTGACTGGCCATGCCGAATTTCACAAATCATTACCTCATGAGTGATTTCTGCACAAGAGTGGAATAATCATCAGTTTCGCAGTCAAAGAAAGCAGAAGCTCACGTCATTGGGGAATGTAGAAGAGAAAGCGTGAAACTAATCCGGGTCATCTCCGACCCATCTCTCATCACGTACGCTCGAAAAAATGCTCCTTCGATATTGTGAACGGAGCACAGTAATTTCCTGTCCATCTGCCAAAGTACATTACGCCATCAGAGCTGGCACAAGATTATTGTGTCGAAATAGAGTGACCACCATCAAACCCTGCCACACGCAAAAACCCGGTTTAATTTGCATTCCCAACTCGGGGTCAAACTCATGACCTCAGCGTCCTGATCATGGTGCCCCTCAAACACCCAAAGTGACTCGGGCATCTTTGAAGATTCACTTCCAAAAATGTGCCAATCTGAATTCCGCAATGCCCACCAACTTGCAAAATGGCCCTTTTATAAGCGGCGTTAATTGTAACCAACGCTCTGGTGTGCACGTAGGATCATTACAAAATAAAATAAACATGACCAGACGTTGTTTTCCAGCAAACAGATTCACGTAATTGATGTTGTGGTTTAGAAACAATCACTCAAATAATCGTCGTAACGAACACAGCTTATTCTATGCATACTTGCTTTGCGCGTCACTGTACAGAAATAACCCATTCACTTACAGAACGGCCACGGCGCTTGCCGCACACATCTCGCTGGAGACGGTGCCTCAAGGAGGATAATTTACGCTTTAGGCTGCGGGGCGCTCCGAGCCTAAACCCACGACGTCGCCAAGCCGCGTCCAAAAAAAATAAATCTGCAGTGAAAAGCACACGGGGGAGGGAGAACACCACTCTTTGTCACGAGAATACTCGATATGCCCGCAGGCTCCGAGGCCTGCAGGTGAAAGGGTTACCCACGGCAAGCAGATACAGCTCATCGGCGGACAAATGATTACATCACAATCTGCGTATGATGCGAATTTGGCAGCTGATAAAACACAATTTCTTATGTTCACATTCGTAAAATAATTACTTTACTGCCACTGCCTTTCCTCCCACAATTATGCTCCCGACCACCCACTTCATCCTTTTCCCTTTCATAACCATCCATACCCTCCCACCACCCACCACCAAACCTCTCAATAAGCGATGGTATTAGCAACCACTCCACTCATCTCCGATGGGTTTTATTTACCCGGCCAGATCTCTTTTTTTTTGTTTCACCTCAAACGTTTCGCTTGTTTTTCAGTTCTTAATGAGCAGCGTATACGACCACCACCTAGATACAAAACGTGATTTGCATTACTGGATGGCGTTACAGGCCAGGGCCAGTCCTCTTTGTGTTGGGAGGAACAAATAAGAAGAGACCGCCACAGGCCGCCACGCGAAATCGTTCGACTGACCTACGTTACCAGAATGTCGCGACTGTGGTTGTTTTCAGACGAGCGAGTAATTCACTGTGTGCTCCTCGATTTTGACTGAAGCCTCCTCCAGAGTTGAGCTCGACCGAATTGAGTGCAAATCCAAAAGACTAATGCGACAAAAAATTTTCGTCTGTAATCTCACAGGTGACCAGGCAAATGTGACACACGTGAGAACGTGGTTATTAATCTCGGTTAGAAGCTTTGTACTTCATCAACCCAGTGGTGTTGGTTCAGTGCTCCCGAACACGGCCCGTTGGCATTTAGCTCTCCTCTCGCTCCACAAAACCACCCGGTTGACCCCCCCCCTCCCCCCCCCCCCCCCCCCCGCAGACGTGATTTTAAAGGGCAAAGAGAGAATCTTCCGTCTTGTCCATCTTCTTCTTGCCTTGGACGGACGAGCGAGCTGGGCCCTCACTCGGCGGGGGCATCGGGAGGTCAGGCAGCTTCTCTGCAACGGTCGCTCTCGAAGCCAGAAATGAGTCGAACGCTGACGGAGGGAAACAAGGAGACGGAGGGGAGAATTACTCAAAAACGCAGATTCCTCCATGGGGTGGTTACAAATCCATATTAGAAACATACATCCAAAGTAACCTCGCCCGAGACTTACATTTTATTCAAAGTGCCGTGGGTAAGTTGTATATCCTGTGGGAAAGTCTGGCCCCGGTGCGACGGAGCAATTGTGGATAACAATGCGACGCTACCGAGCAGGATGTGGGGAATAAGAAAGGGACGCGTGACTCCCGGACAAAAAGCACGATTGAAATTTAAAACCGTTAACAATAAATTCCAGCGCGCGCGTTTGACACATCTTGTCCACATTGGACATCTGACCGACACCGCGTGTAATGGGGGAACAACAGCAGAATCCAAAATCAACCAACACGTGCAAATAACAGATCTGTGGGATGCGTTGGGGAGGGGTTGAAGGTGAAAACACATGCAAATATCATTGGGCATTTAACTCGATTGCTCCCAAATGTTCCAGCTGTGACAGGCTGTGACGAGCAGAGAGGCTTGGTTTTATTAAGTGCCCTCTCACATGCATGCCCCTCCATGTGGAACGTGGGTGTGCCATCCAGGGAAAATAACCGAACTATAACTATTTTTTTTTACCAGCTTAAGGCCCACTGAGCTGCATAGCTCTTTTTCAGAAGCGACTTGACCACAAATGATAACGCTACGAAGCGGATTATCGTGTGGATATTTAAGCAGCCAAATACTCTAAACACACGTTGATTCTAAATGTGGAGGACCCGGGGAAAAGTCCACGCAACTACGAAGAGAACCCGCAAACTCCAAATATACAGCAGGCGTCAGGGTCGGGATGGAACCCACGACCTCCTGCATACCTGGCGAGGGAACTAACATCTCGCCACCGCGGCAGGAAGGCAACACTGTGAGCATGTGTCACACGAGGTAATTATGAAACGCAGGACGCTGAATAATAAACAATCTCAAAGGGGCCTCTTCTCGGTTAAAACGAAACAAAGGCAAGTGATGGATGAAACCCAATGGGCACTCAAGTTGCGAGAAGAAACTATTTGACCGAATAAAATGTAACTCTCAAAAAATGGGCTCTCACAAAAAAAGGCAGCAAAATAATTAGAGAGACGAGGTTCTGAATTGTATCCGGTACAAAATATTCGCAGCGCCTTTTTGGCTAACCATCGAACAAAGACGGCCACTGCATCGCACGCTTCCAGAAGAGCTTCTGCGGCCGTCTGGAACGCTCTTCCTTCCGATATTAGGAAGCCACTGGAGCGATGCCCCTATTCAAATCATCTAAATTGAAAAATAATTTCTTTAGAACTGCGTTTAGTGTTTAGATTGTTGTCCTTCCCCCGCACCTCCTATTAGGTACAGTTGGCTACGTATGGTGCAAAAGAAGTTCAACATACATACAAGCCAACGCTGTGAGATGCCACACGAGATATGCGATGATGTGAACTCTACCTTCAGCCGTCCCAGAAGTGGCCACTTCTGCCGTCTCATCTCCTTTCCCCTGAAAAACACAATCAACGAATTTCAATACAAACTAACAGGACAAATATCACCTGTACAGCTGTTAGCGAGCACCGATTAAGGGCCCGGCACGGCACACAAGGGGGTGGGTGGCCAGAACCACCTTCGTCTGCCCACTGGCGATGTTTAAAACACTGCACCAGGTACTCATGAGGGTCAGTCGACCTCGGGGAGGCTCAGGACCGGTTCAGACAATTGTCACTGGTGTTGGCCTTGAGTGGGAATTGAACTCGCGTCACCGGATTTGTAGCGCTCTAACTGCTGCACCACCGCGCCCCACTCACCAGGCACTCGCACAGCATGTGTAGATTCATACAGGGTTACATAGAACAATCTATTCATTATATCAACACAGTTACAACATCTCACATTTCAATTATTATTATTTGCAATAGCCAGAGAACTGAGATCCGTTCCATGTCTATTAGCGGAAGGACACATGTTGGAATATGTGCGATTCTGTATCGTTTCCAGAAGTTAATCAGTGTGTTCATTCATTCAGATGAAAATGTAGACTAACAGTGGTGTAAAATCTGTAGAAACTGCATGAATGTGAATGCAGCACCCACAACTAATGCTAAAGGGCTTCAAAATCAGTTTAGACGCTCTGCTCACGTGACGAAAAGCCACACCATTCCCGTTAAATGTGACCGGTGAGAAAAGATAAATAATTCCAACACACGGTTACTTGTTGAGTTTCCCCAACAGCATGTGTTTTGAATTAAGTGAAGGTGTTCTACTCATCGCATGCATTTTCTGGAACATTCGATGGGCCGGTAAGCAGAACTACCTTCGGCGTGATTTTACAGACGACATCAAACTACAATCAGAGCTGTTGTTGCAGTATCAGCAAACAATAACCCAAATAAGCTCTGCCGTGACAAAAAAAACGAGTAATCTTTATGGTGCACAGTTAGTTACAAATTGAGCACACATGGGTGTTTCTATCAGTCGGGAACATCACTGCAAGATGTACAATGCGCGGGTCACGTGCCCACAGAACTGTCCGTGGCATGGACACGAATTAAGGACAAAAGCAGTGAAAGCTGCGGATCCACTGACAGGGGAAAGTTTGGGAAGCTCTCATTGAAACAAGAACACAATGCGCGCATTAAAACTTGTATCTGGTGTTGACAGTTAAACGTTGAACTGTTATTAGACTTTGAAACCTGCTATGGTAACATTTGCTCTCCTCTCACAATGTGGAATGAGAGAAGTTGGATCTTACAAGGTTGGTATTAAGGCAATTGATATAATAGGAGGGCTGATCAATTAAACCACAGTCCAATATAAAAGTGGTACTGCTGCAACATCAAGCGAGAAAGTTTAGTTCCATGCTGCACGCGTTACTTTCACAGATGGCAAAACGTCACCGGCGATGGTCTAACTCCATCATTATTTACAGGTGTTTGAAATCATCTTGTTTTGTGTGTTAACTGAAAAACAGAGAAACCCGAGCTCTGAGCAGCCGTAAATTATCGTCAAAGGACATGACCCCACAAGAAACCCATGACAGACACAGGAAACAAACACTCAATTGATAAGAAGCGGTGTGTGTGCAGAATTTAAACGTGGACGATGTTGCACGGCAAACCTATTTCAATGCAGTTTATTATCTTATTATGAAGCCACTGGGGAGGAGCTATGTGGTTTTAAACCGAGACTGAAAACTCATTTATTTTTTACTGCTTTTTGTGTTGTCCTTCTTCCCTGCACGTCCGGTTGGCCATGTACGGTGCGAAAGAAGTTCAACGTACATACACGGAATACCATCGTCTGACCAGCTTTCTGAGACTGCTTGGGTTTGTTGTTGTAAATATGATTGCACACAAGCCGTATTGATCGGCGATTTTGGAGTTGAACAAACGGCGTCTGCGGGATGGGGCGATTCAAGATGCTGATCATCGACCAGAGTCGGCCAACAGACTCCTCGATTGGGACCAACAAAATCTAGGACAGTTTAACACTACGCGAGGCTTTCGCTTACCAATATTATCCATAAGAGGTTTTTTTGTTGGTTAGATCGCTTAAATATAAATGTGTTGTTAAACCCGCCACCACCCGACACAGCCAATTATGAAGGTTTGTCACGTAAACAGAACATGGCAATTCGTTACCAGTACAGCACAACGGTTGTGTGTTGGAGAGTAAATCCACAACAATCCGAGTACGACGTTTCACCGGTAATTACAACCAGCATCATCAGGCGACAGCCAGATTTGTGGAGAAATCCTCCTGTTTCGTTCTTAAATAGGGGGATAGATGTGATGTCGTCACTTGTGAACCCCTCATGTGCGAAGGCCAGAGGGCGGGGGGGTGCAATATAACTGGGTGTACGAGTGGTTAAAAACGTGGGTCCAATCTTTTTCCGTGGACTACTCGAGCAAGCACAGCGCGAGAGCGTCCAGCGTAATCCCCACGGATCACTCCCATCAACACATTTTTTGAGCTGGACAGTTGAGACTTGAAATTGTTCACCGAATGATGGCTCACTTTTTTTTTACATGCAAATGGTGGGCGGTGGGGGGGGGGGGTCACATAATGAATGATGATTTGGAACAAGGGCGATACGCTATCACGTGGCAGTATCACGCAGACCTAATCACAACATTAAGAAGGAAGTTGAATGTGTTCACCACGTACACACAATCGTGCTGTTCACAAGTTCTGCGTCTCGGTGGGCTGCCAGTCATGATTCCAGATTTCATTTGGGCAATCGACACCCCACAGACACCAAACCTGGCTCTCTCAAGTGACCTCCGTCCGTCGACACTGACAACCGTCGCTTGCGGGGAAAGCACATTTCTCGTGAAAATGAGGGTGTGTGTGCCATTGAACGAGTAATGCGAGGAGCAAGGTCCTTCTTGTAGACGGGGATTACAACTTTAAGCATCGAGAGACCTTCTTTAAAATACAACACTTTTTTTCGATTGCTCGTAATTTATTTCTGTCGTATTTTAAGGAATGTTTTATGTTCCCGAGGAAACTACATGTGGGGGGAGGGGGGGTAACAGCGACGTTCAAGGAGATAATGAATAAATTAAAAGCATGAGGCACAATGAGATGCATTGACATTTTTCGGGGTAGCGGTTACAAAAGGTTAGAGTTCACGTTGAGAGAATTGTTGATAACCAGCATGTGACTCACAGTAAGAGAAGGGACTGTACGGAGTAGCCGATTAGTTGCATTCAAGGAAATTCTAAAAAGACAAACAAAAAATTATAAATATCAAACTAAAACTATAAAAACTATTTTTTATTTTAACCAGGAAAGGCCCACGGGGCCGTGTAGCACTTTTTCAGAAGCGACCTGGCCACAAATGGCAGCTCAACGAAGTGGCTTATCGTGTGGACATTTTAAGCAGCCAAATACTCTCAACGCGCGTTTCAAAATGTAGAGGGAAATACTGGTTAAAATCCACGCGACCACGGAGAGATATTCAAACTCCAAATATATACAGGCGTAAGGGTTGGGATCGAACCCACGACGGCCTCCTGTACACCGGGCGAGGTAGTCGACATCTTGCCACCGTGGCGAGTGTATGCATGTCAAATATGGTAGCGGTGATGGCAAGAGAGAGACGACATTGCGGTGCACAGCCAATGAAACAAGGAATAAGCACGTCAGGTGGCTTGGTGGCTCGACGCAGAGGGAAGCAAGCTGACGGAGGGAATGCTAATGAAGGGTATATTTAGTATACTGATGATACCATGTAGTTTATACTTTAGTTTTTTACATGGTTGTTTAGTTACTGCAGCTACATACTATTAACATTCCTTACCCTTTATTAATACTACCCCTATCCCCTCCCTTTGATGCTGCTAATCCTGCATAATTCACGGGCATAATATGACTTTGAAACCCCCCGCCCACCTCCTACGCATTTCACAAGTAGTACTAATCACATACCTGCAGTTCCCATAAATATGCTAAATTCCTCTTGATATGCAAACTATTTTGTCAAGGCGCCCTTCCCCCCCTTTCAACCCAGCTTAAATAGACGCTCCAAGCATGGTGGTGTTTCATTCAGACGCTGTCTCCCCGACAGACCTGGTCTTCACCTGAGGACGGCTGCTTGCGTTGTGGCCGAAACGTCGTGAGAATTATTTTATTATGTTTTATTTTTATTATTTTATTATTTCCCTTCTACATGACTTTACCGAAAAAACCAGAACTGTTACAGCTTATCTTATATAGGTTTATATAGGGCCTTATTCTAAGCCGCTTAAACCCATTATAAAATTGTACGTAAGATGACAGTGGTTGAGAGAAAGAGTGGGGTAATTAAAAGTGTCGGTGGGAGTTTTGGTGACAGGAGAACAGGTGGGCGAGTTTGAGGAGGGGTTGGTCTAGAAAGCCGATGGGCCGAAAATCATTTGTGTTGTTATGTGGCGAGGCTGACGGAAGTGTGCTTATTTATATCATTGCCCTCGCAGTTCCACAGCACCACGCGGGCCTCTTCCCACAGCTGCAGTGTAAGGCGACGTCGTAGCTCAGTGCACCAACGCAACTGCAAATTCTGTTCAGTGACTGTGTGCAACTTTCAGTCACCGGACATTTAGAAATGTCACAGGCGGCAAAACCGGTGATCGCGAGACATGTCCGTCCATCAAAGTATGCATCTTTGTATTGAATGTTTTACTCAACAAATAAATGTGCCAGTTTTTCCCCCAGTTTTACTCCCGACTGTGCTCGTAGCATTACGGCGAGTCCATGTGGAATTCTCACAGCATTGGCAGCCTTCGTGTTAGAGAACAGCCAATAGAAGAAGCGGATAACGCAGAGTTGCCTCTGAGAACCCTTTTGCCACCTCTGCAGACAAGAGTAATGTTCTTCACTTGGCAGTCTAAACAATGTTTAACACTCAGAGCTCGCATTTAGCCAACTTGCATGTATGTTGAAGTTCTTTTGCACCGTATGTCGCCCCCACTTAAGTTCAGAAACCAAATTCTACGTGATCGTTTGTTTGTGCATTCATCGTTGATCAGGCTGAGATCATCCACTTGCGACGCTTGAGGCCACGGTTTAAGCAGAGACGGCCGCCCACGACCTCAGCGGTGCCAGCTGAACGGTCTGACCTCAAGAGTCACCAGGGACACGTAAAATATTCCGTCTTTACAATGGAGATGTCTACTACTACTACTAATAATCATTTACATTTATTTGTAAGGCGCCTTCCACCAATGTCTCAGGGCGCCTACTACGGTAAGCAAAGCCCTTAAAAAACCTCAGTGCACCAGAGAAGCCGACTTCACCAAGAGCGGATGCGCGTGTATTCATCTGCAGCGTTTGAACCGCGCTGACTCGGCGCTGTGGCGCGCGGGCACGAGGCCGCAGGCCGCAGGCCGCAGCGCCGCGTGCGAGATGTGGCAGGTTTAAAGAGCGTTTGGCACGGTGGATGGGAAAAAAACAACGTATCAAGAAAATAAACATAAGGGGGGGGGGGGGAACCAAGGTCCTCTCACCGAATCGGCCAAGAGCCATGCATCTACCTCGTCTTTTGAGGACACATGCGCGACCGGGATCTGTATGAAACACAACAGAAAGAATAACAGTGACCAACAACATAAAACACCGCGCAACAAATAGAAAATGCTAATTAAACCACCATGCAATGAACAGAAACCAAAACAAACCCACAGGGTGTTGAAATAAATAGTTCCGTATGCCGTCTACGAGTGGCCAGCGTGAATAGGCCGTTGTTTTCTGTGCGGCTCTGCGACTATCAGATGAAACACAAAACCAGACGGTTTTTAATCTTTAAGTATAAGTCGGGGCAATTTTTTCACGGCCGTGGCTTTGAACTCCAGACGATGATTCTTGATTTTAATCCAACGACCCGCGACGTTGATGCTAGTCTCCCTGACCATGACAGGGGGAGCATAATGTACATATTTTGATGTTGTGAAAATTAAATGAAAATTCTAAAATGTTAAAATGCTAATTGTGAAATCACATCCAAAGCGACAACATTAGGTTGTAAAGATACATTTGGGAAAGGCATATATGCAACATTGTGTAGTTTTTAACGCACCTAAAACGAGATGTACTTTGGCATTTTAGACAGATTTATTTGCTGAATATCTCTCAAGGCTATGACAGGGGTGTCAACAAACTGCCCCGTCCCTCGCAAATCAATCAACTGTCACAATTTATGGGCGGTGTGCAAATCGATTCAAGAAACAAATTTTTTTTATGTAATGGTCTCCCCTGTGACTCGTATGGGTCATTTGATCCCACTACATACAATATAAATACCAGTGGAAAAATCATAGAGTATTACACATACGATGTGATGCTTGTATCATCGTGAGCACAGGAATTAATAGTTATCCATGGATCGACGAACCGCTACACCCCTAGCAAGCGAGCACCCTCTGGGCGACGGGCTTGCAGCCACCAACAAGTCTGCATGATGTCGACAGCTGAAATATAACGTGGCCACCCAGTCATTTTCGCACGGACAATTAGCAAAGCATCACGTCTGCCGTAACAATAAAGCGAAAGAGTGAAGTCATCGTGGGTTGATGATGGATGGTGGAAAAAAACCCAGCAATGTGAAATCACGACGTTATTAATTATTCTCCTGACCTATCAACAAATTCCAGATCTCTTTTTTTGCAAAGGACATCACGAATTTCAACGTTGCGTTTATCTTTTAAAACAACAACAAAAAAAGGGCCCATGTCATCTATTGATCAGAGCCGATAACGGTTCTGGTGTTCCGTCCCGGCGCCCACGCAGCACACACGGCATGCGTGAGCGGCGTGCATCGACAAGCTATAGCAACCGCACAATACAAACACAAGCACACAGGGCAATGATGCAACACAACCGCTGCAGCCTCTGAACACTGGATCAATGACCGGGCACAGGAAATGTACCAGCGGCAGCGCTCATACTAACGACTCCTCGCGTAAGCAGCAATTATTTTTCCTCTTGGAGAGCCGAACCTAACAGACCGATTCTGTAAGCGTTCACCGAAAAGCAGCAACGCGTAGACGTCGACTAACAATGCGCCAAGAGCGCACGACATTTGCATGTTATGTAAGGTAATACTTGAAGCTGGCAGTAGAACGTATTGGCGGTACACCGGTGATGTGCGGTATAAAAATATAAGAAACATTTTCACAATAACTATTTACTTGATAATTGGTTTTATACCCTTTTTATCTGGCAACAAAACTGACACCTTTTTTTACAAGGAGTCATGTTTGCATAGACCACAATACCTGTAGTCATAACGCAAACAAAAAACATAACTCTGATAATGTATGCACTGTCCTTAAAGTTTATTGGTCCACACCCGAGACAGCTTTCTTTAGAGCCTAGTCTCACAAGGAAAGCTGTCTGTGGTGTGGACCAATCAACTGTAAGGACAGTGCATACATTATCAGAGTTATGTTTTTTGTTTGCATTATGACTGCAGGTATTGTGGTCTATACAAACATGACTCCTTGTAAAAAAAGGTGTCAGTTTTGTTGCCAGATAAAAGGGTAAAAAAACAATTATCATATTTTTTTCTGGCAAATGAGGTTCCAATGGTGTAAACTATTTACTTCCCCGCAATTCACAACCCCGCTCAGAACATCTTGCAGGGTGGCGATGCGTCAAAATCAATTCTCGTGATGTCGAAGCAGTCTGAAGACGAATGTCAGTTGAACTTTTCAAGACTGTTTTATGAGGACCGGTGTGTTTCACTGCACCGGTGTACTGCCAATACGTCCAGTTGTCAGGCACGCTGTTATTTAAAGACACGTATTAAGGTTGGCAACGGAGGATTGTGGGTAAATAACTAATTAGCATTGACAGGCATGAGTCTTGATGAACAATAATGCTGCAGGCAACCTTTTCACTTGCACTCAAGAGCGTGACCGCATCTTCAAATACCTCTAAAACGGTGCCCTGGTCCATTCAAGACCCGACTACAACACTTTTTTCGTATTTCAATTCTGTCATGGACTTTCCCCTTCACACACCCCTCGTCTACCATCGAGTTCACTCGAACGTCCTCCCTCATCCTCCAGTAACCAAAAAGTGTTTGAATGACACCACCAGTCAATCTCAGCCCAACGGGAGGTCACTTCTTCTGCTCTGTTGCCCCTGTAGGCTCAGAAGTCCCTCCCACTAATTGTTTGCACCGCTGAGCTCCCCCCCTACACAAGACCTTGCCCAAGATCCACCTTTCTCCTCTGCACGCGATTAACTGCCTACCGGTACGGATTGTCTTCTCTGCCAAACCTTTAAATAATCGTTAATAATTGTTTATATTACATCAACCTTCTTTCTGCTCGACTTTCGCTTTCATTTGCTGCTTTTCCACAATAATCTGTCCCACTGCTGTGAAGCTTCCGCGGGAAGTTGCCGCATTAGACGCTACATTAATGAGATTTTTACGGGGAATAATTGACGCGTCAATATTTTTTTGTTAATGTCTCTCACTTTGTCCATCTGCTTTAACCCTAAGACAATATATTTATTGTTGCCGTCACTCGTCCAACATAGCTTGCATCTCGTCCTTCTATTCCTCAGCAGCGGTCCTGAGCATCGTGCGAATATCCGGACTTTAAATTACAGCTTCCATTAGTTTCACTCCTCACCCATTTGCCCTGCCTAGCATAGAAACCACTGTGCCTGTCTCAGCCACAGATCTTTTAAGTCCTTCCAGGAGTGAGATTCCTGCTCCGATTTACCTTTCTCTGCAAGGCATTAGAAGCCAGCAGATGTGTTTTCAACGCTTATCTGAAAATGCCATCACACTTTATCAATCTTTGCTGAGACCGTCAAACTGTACACCTGCTCATTTATCTCCCAAGCTTCACTCTTTATCTCTACGACAACTCCAAGTTAAGATCTGAACCTATTTTTTAGTCATCCTGTACCCTGTAATCTTGTCTGGTTTTAATCTTTAGACATCTCAGTCTTAACACCAGCTGATATCTCTTCAGTTTTGTGTGAGTTACCACTCCCCACCACCACTTCCCATATTCCCCCTTTCAGAATTTCAACTGCATTTCACGGTACAGCACCTCCAGTGGCTGCAGGGGCGACATGAACTCATTACACACCAAATCGTACCATGCAAAACGCTTTATTGCGACTGCGATTCAACGCCCGTTATCACGAGATTAAGGATCGATAGCCATCGATGCATCATTCCTCCCTCGGTGGGTACTGTAACACAAATATTCACACACTGCGTTTTGCTTGCAAACCTCCGTCTTCTGTCTCTTCCGTCAGCGCACCGTCTTGTATGTACTGTACGCTAAACTTCTTTTGCACCGTATGGAGCCAACTGTGCTAAACGGTGGTGGTCTCCAACTGGTCTATAAAGGTGCATTGAAAAATGTTGATACTCCTACTGATACTCCTGCTGTTATGGAGTGACTCATGCTGCCAGCTCTATGGCTGCAAAGTTTGGTCGTGCATGTTATGTATATCGTTAATTGTTAAATTTGAATCACAGTTCCTATGATCACTGTTACGTTGTTTTTATTGCTTTATTTTGGTGATTTAGAAAACTTTTGGTTTAGCCATATTTGTTTGTTATGGTACAGAGTTAGACTGATAACTTTAATCTAAATTGTCTTATGGTTGTTTTACTGGCATCCCACTGGGATTTTGGCACACAGCATTGATATGCGGTGCTTTTTCTGGAAGACTTTGCTGTTTTTTCCTGGATTTTTCTGTTTGCGTGTAGTCACTTTAAGATGTTTCTTGTTCATGTTTCTGTTTGTTGCGGTTGCATTCGATTCAAGAGCCGAATGGCTCACAGGGCTATACCTATTAAATAAACTGAACTGAACTGGTGTCACATCACAGTGCTTATACAGCTCTGCCTGGAAGCAGCAGCTCTGGCAGGAGTTTGGCAACACTTTGCCACCTTTTCACCGGTATGACCGCGAATCACTTTGCAATGTCACGACCAACACAGGAGGATATATTTCTATGTGGTCTATGTAAGGTGGGTGGGGGGTTTGAGATGAAATTACAAAGCACAGTATAATTTCAACATGCATTCCAATAAAATATGAAACATTTCATTGTTTTTCCTACATTTCCTTGCAAGGCAGCTCTCCGATGTGTTTTCTGGTTGTACCGTGTGATGATATTTGTACTGTCCACTACATAAGCGTGAAAGCCTACGCAACCTAAACACGAGCACAACAGTATTATAAAACAGGCTAACATTTGTGACAATGGCCCTTGTTTATGGCGGTATATTTAGTTGTTACAAAGCGGCGCTGATGATGAATGTGTCACGGGTTCTTTTTTCGTCTGCGTATAATCACTTGCGCTTGCAAACCACCGTCAACAATCTCTTAATTTTTCACCAGCCCGAAAAAAAATACAACGTGCAGAGGCGGCGTAAACATGTGAGTTGCAATGCCTGGCAAACGACAAAGAAAAAATATCGGCGTGCGGGTGGGAAAAGTTTTGGACGCGAGTCAATGAACGCGACACCGGAATAACGCAGTAGTGTCTACAGGGCTCCACGACATGTTGACTCTGGCAGTGATACAAGGCATGGTCGACTGTTACAGCAGATGAGCTTCATTGATCAAGTCACTGGCTCGCCCCTCTCCCCTCCCACCCACCCCCCCATTGGTGTGCCAAGTAATCAATGGGCAATCGAGTAGCAACACATTCGATACAGCACGCCAGGCGAATGATGTGCAACTGTACACTTTAATATTTTTAAAGTATATATTTTTTAACCGGGGCTGCCAAAGTTAAATGGTTTGACATATGAGCACACTGGTGGAAACGTTACGAGTAAACACCTCCCACGTACAATAATATTGGTGGACCCGCTTGTAAACCTGATATCCGAAAGTAGTAGAAATCGACACTGTGCCTGGCTACTGTGAACGTCAATTTGTTCGAAACCTTTAATGCCGATATAATTACGGAGATTTGGACGTCATAGATAATTCAACTTTTGATTTAAAGCTTTCGTGACTGCAGGGATTCATAGTCTTGGTTCTTTCGGTAAAGTCACGTAGAAGGGAAATAATAAAATAATATTAATATAAAACAATAAAAATTCTCACGACGTTTCGACTGCAACACAAGCAATCATCATCAGGTGTGAAATCCCTTCTACGTGACTTTACCGAAAGAACCAAGAATATAAGATAATTCAACATTTTGTTTTTTACAGCAGATTTGTCAATCCCCTGCTAGATCAAGGCTTCATCATGCCTCTGTGACTTCCCCTGACAATAAATGACACGCCTACCGTATATTACCAAATCTGTGAAATCGAGAAAACCATTCATTCCACGGATATTTGTGAGACAATCGGAGGCTCCACGGTAATATTTAAATACTATTTGTTGTCAGCAACGGTCTCCCAATTGTATTTATGGAGTTAAAAACAACAAACAACCTTTGGCTGTCATCTTCTTGGTTCTTTCGGTAAAGTCACGTAGAAGGGAAGTAATAAAATAATAAAAATAAAACATAATAAAATAAAATAATTCTCACGACGTTTCGGCTACAACGCAAGCAGCCGTCTTCAGGTGAAGAATGAGACAATGCCAAGCTAGGAGCTTATATATAAGCTGCGTTGGAGGTGGAAGAAAGAGCGCCTTAACAAAAGAATGTGCATATGAAGAGGAATTTAGCATATTCATGGAAATGCGTAGGAGATGGGCGGGGGGGTTTCAAAGTCATATTATGCCCATGCATTATGCAGGATCAACAGCACCAAGGGGGGGTGCAGGGATTAGCAGTAACAAAGGAAAGGAATGTTAATGATATGTAGCTGCAGTTACTCAACAACCACGTAGAAAACTAAAGTATAAACTACATAAAAAACTAAAGTATAAATAGCATAGCACCATCAGTATACTTACTATACACTAAGCTGAGTTACTAACAGCAAATAATACATTACAATTCTACGTCGTAAAAATTATATAATATGCTTCCATCTAAACTTTATTCTATTGCATCACACGAGCATATACCGTACTATATACTGCCAACATTAAATTATTACCTGTATTGCTGTAAACCAACCTATATCTTATACATTTAATATAACACTATGTATTATTCTACCCACCCTAATGTGTGTCGAAATGGTTTATTACGTCCTTCCAATGATTGCTAAGCCAGAATCCATCTTCTCGGTTAAAATTGTCTCTGTGTTTGTATATGTGGATCGCCTCATGAACGAATCTCTCATGATAGCCAGATGGCTTGCAGAGAACCTCTGTCTTGGAGAACATCAGGTCAAAGGAATGAGCCCAAACACAGCCCAGAAGGAGAACTTGTGACTGGCCTGTGCTCTTCTTCTTTTTTATCTTCAGCAAAATCCAGAAACGGAATCAAAGCTGCAATCAATGTCTAAATCATTTCCTCCACTCTCTGTGCTTTTGTCCGAGTCCGTGCTATTCTTAGTCTGCCGCTGCTCTGCTGACCGGCAATCTCTGTTACGCTATCCTCAAACCACTTGACCTACTTGCTAATACTGCTTTCCCGCATGCCGGTGTTCCCATACATGGTATGCCTTCTGGGAAAATTACCGTGGTTTTATTTTCGACCTTTATGTCGGTATTAAGCTATTGACAACTTGCAGCTCAGCACACGGCAGATGCCTGTGCAGCGCGACTCACGACCTCCTCTTGACACCAAGATGGTCATGTCTATGCACCGCTTCTCCGTGGCAGCCCCAACAGTCTGGAACGCGATCCCTTTGCACATTCGCAGCATCACCTCAATCGCCTCCTTCAAGAGACACTTAAAAACTCACCTCTATAACCATGCTTTCGAGCGACTCTGAGTTTGGCTCCGCGCCTCTGAGTTGCGGCCGTTACGTCCGCAAATTTGCACACGTTATAAATTGCATTATTATTAAATTATTTTTATTTTACCAGGTATAGCACACTGAGCTATATAGCTCTTTTTCAGGAGTGACTTGGCCACGAATAAAGTGGCTTATCACGTGGACATTTATAGACTCCAAATACTCTAAACGCATGTTTCGACATGTGGAGGGAAAACCCAGACGACCTGAGAAAAATCCACATGACCACGGCGAGAACATGCAAACTCCAAATACACAGCAGCAGGCGTCAGGGTCGGAGATCGGACCCACGCACTCCCCCATACCAGGCGAGGGAGTTTAAGGGTGTAACGATTTACTGCCCACCCCATCACAGGGATTCTATATCCGCGATTCAATCAATCAATAATTATTTTAGGTGCCATTAACGCCCTAAATAAAGTGGGCATCAGTGCACCATTTACAGCGATTCAGGGCTGCGATTCGATTCGTGAATCAAATCACTTTGTAACATCGCAGCATGATGGCGCCTGATGAGGCTGCACGGATGACATGAACCCCCACATACTCACATAGTCCACGTGAACCTATTCGCAGCACGTGGGTATAGCTGCATGTATCGCGTGGCTAAGAATCAACATGAAACATTTTTTTATCATTTTTTATTTTTTTATTATGTTTTATTTTTATTATTTTATTACTTCCCTTCTACGTGACTTTACCGAAAGAACCAAGAACATGAAACATTTCATCAACGCATTGTTGCACCCGTAGAACATTGTCAACTGGCTAATTAATGGAGTGTAAAAGGAGCCGAGATTCCTAAGATCGTTATGGAGAGGTACTCACTGCGCCTGTGTTGTGTTGCCGGGCGTCCAGAGCTCCTGCCAGACCCGTGACCGCCTGCGGATCCTCGTACACGATGCTGCAACACAACACCGGTTTTATTGAAACACAGCGTCAACAGTCTCTGCCTAAATGACATTTTCACCTCCTTGGACAAGGCCGAGATCCAGGCTAAGGTACATTTACAATTCGTTATAAATCATCATGCGAACTCCGGTCATCCTCTAAGCAGCTTTTGGATAGTCATCGAACTAAGACGATCACCGCATCGCGCGCTTTCAGATGCGCTTCTGCGGCTGTCTGGAACACTCTTACTTCCGATATTAGGAAGCCATTGAAGCTATGCACTTTTAAATCATCTAGATTGAAAACTAATTTCCTTAGAACTGCTTTGTGTGTTTAGTGTATTCCTCCTCCGCACCTCCGATTAGCACCGTTGGCTAAGTACGGTGCTAAAGAAGTTCAACATACATAATGCCTTGATTTTTTTTTGTATAATTCGAGCGCGGCATAGCAATACAATATCCATGCATTGTGCAATTAAAGTATTAAATAGATATGGTAAAGGGTCATTTGTGAAAAATGGTAAGTACAGATGGCAATCGAACACGCCGGTCATCCGAGTTAAACATATGGGCGACCAAATTTCCAAGTGCACAAAACTTTTCAAGACAGAAACTAAGCCTACTTTTGAACTATGCTACAATAGATAATAAACTCTTTAACAGAAGTCCTCACACCGCTCATCTGTGGAGCATTCGAAGTTGATTGTACAGAAGCAGTGGGGCCGTTTAGAATGCAGTATGCAGTAGTAGAGTACCGACTGTCCAGACTGTCGCTAGTGCCACCACTCGGCAGTGTCCCGAAGCTCCCGTAAACAACAGATCTCAGATCAACGCACGGCAGCAAGATGCCGGATAGTTCGAGGAATTTTTCCGGAAACGCGAAGGAAGATTTGTTTCTGCCGTCTATGACAGATGCTGGTTAATTGAACAGTCAATTAATCGGCATAACAGAGCTTTTGCTGTATATATTTTTTACTTTTACTTTTGCAGTAGCGTTATTGACGTATGTTTAGAGTTTTTGTAATTTTAAAAAGAATCCATGATATATATATAAACGTAATGCCAATTATTTACTTAGACGTGCTTTAAAATAATAACATGCCAAGCCGGGTGCAATTTGACAGTGTGGCCATGCGATACTTAAAAAAATCAGACTACTAAATGCATTTAAGGTGCAATTCTTGGGAATGTGTAGTGTGAAATGTTAACATCTACCCAACAACGCCAAGCAAAACCCATTGAAATCAAATCCAGAATTCTCCGGAGATCTCGTAATGTTCAAAAACAAGCCCGTGTCCGCACACACATGTGCAGCCTTTGTAGATTGCATCAGAGGTAAATTCCTCTCAAGATCGGTGGATATTTGATGCCGTTTTGTTTGTGCGCTTTTTTTACAACTGCCACACGCAACCAACCATTATATCTTGGGGTTTCCAGATAAAATCTCGAAACATTACTTGCGACAATACGTACACAGAGAATTCCTCATATCTGAGATGATGTTTGGGGGGGGGTCATCACAGATAATTTACAGATGTGAGAAACTTTCTTCCTAATTTCCATGTTTAAACACCCTATTATCCACACATATATCAATGCAAAATGCAGTGTACGTAAGCATATAAATGCAAGTTATATTTATTTACATTGCTTCCAATTGCCAATCCAAACAATCCCCCACACCAAGATGGTCAGTGCAGGTTGGTGAGACAGGTGCCAGGGGACTGGTTTGGATATTGCTCGCTGATGACCTTAGCCGTGGCCGGCAATCAAGCTCGGGTTGGCATGTTACTATATGGCAGTGCCTTGGGGCACTGTGACCACCACTCCTCTCAAGGAACGCGTAATACATAGGTGCGTTTGCATGCTTGTGGCATCTCGTTATGATACCGCTCGCGACTATTGAGCTACAAAAACATAACAAGAACGAAAGAGATGCGAGATAAATGAAACAATAGACGGTGACGGTGCTCATGCAGTTCAATACCGGAGCTGCATTAACACGGTGATATGGGTCTCAAAATAAGGCGACATTGCCTCCAAGTTCAAACCAGCACTGAGCAGTGCTCATCTCTGTTGGGTAGAGACTTGAACCAGTGGTGGCAATTCCACATTCATATCACGAGAATCTATCGACACAGAACAAATATGACTGCACCCTAAGTGCTACTCGGTTAAATTGATTTTCAATTGAGTGCAGCTAACTTTTGAGTCTGTGATTTGTTGATGTGAGACTGGCAGGCATAGGCATACGAGGTAAATGATAATGTGACACAGGGCCTTAGATGTCCACTTTACAGCAGATGCCACACTTTGGTAATTTCCGGAAAATGTCCTTGGCAGCTGTGGGAAGTGAATGGAATGATTTGCTGGTAAGCATGTTGACTGGTTAGCCATCAGGCCAACAATTACTTTTTTATGCATTGCCCTCTAAATCACACTTATAGTTACGGAGTCAAACATCAGCAAAGTTATGGTGTCCTGGCATAAATACAGTTTCAGTTTCATTTCAGTTTCATTTTGTAGGTATAACCCTGTGAGCCATGCGGCTCTTGACTCGGGTGCAACCGCAACAAAAGAAAAACATGAACAAGAAACATCTTAAAAGTGACTACACGCAACAGACAAATCCTGGAAAAAACAGCAACGTCTTCCAGAAAAAAACACCGTATTTCAACGCTGTGTGCAAAAAAAATCCCAGTGGGATGCAAGTCAAACAATAACAACCATAAGGGTAAAATACCCTTGATAAAAGCGCATTCACGTTTTATTAAAACGAAATTAGATATAACGGGCACTTTCAACCCAAATGGAAAGAAAATAAATGGACACGTTCAAGCAAGCATTTGTCCAAGCCTCGGGATGTTACGATGACCCCAGCGTAGGTCATCCCAGCCTCTTCGTAAGAGCGGGCTTGTGCCAGAACTGCCGGCAGGTAAACAAAAGCATGCAAAAGCGCACTTGCAGCTGTTTCAGCATGCTGGCCATTCAAATCGTAATAATAAAGAGGCAATTAACAACCATAGAACTGTTTTGTGTCTCCTTACCCCAATTACATCTCTCGGTTACGGTGACAATAAACACAAAAGGCAACACACGTTTGCCTTCGTGATTTCTGTCGGTAAAGTGTCAACACGGTTATTCCATGCATGCTCTCCCCGTGGTGGTGTGGATTTTTCTCCAGGTCCTCTGGTTTTTCCCTCCTAGCTTGATTGGGGTGTCCCTTAACCGTAGCGAGCCGAGAGCCCGGTGTTTCATTGAATGAACGCGGAGTGACGGGACAGCAATGCGCCATTAGAGATGCTATTCACGTGATTTTGCATTTCTTAAATGACTAATTGCATCAGGTTACATTGAATCACGGGCAGCCGCTCCGTTTGCAACCAGGATCTCACTCTCGGCATCTCCGTAGAACACAACACCTTAGAAATAATCGGTGGCGAAATAATTTTGATGCATTCCATTGCCCTTGCACGCCGACACTATTTATGCTGCTTATTAGTTTTATTGTGAGCGCGTAAGTATTGCACCATACTCTATCCCACTTGCATACTATCCGAGATCTCAACTTTTACGTGACATTGAGCTCTAGCACCTGATAACAAATACAAAAAACAAACATGACTTAAAATAAATTAAGGTTAGTTAAGGGGGTGGCGCAGAGGTGAGTGCACTGGTACTATAAACCTGACACAAGTTTAATTCTCGGCTGTGCCTAACATCGCAATTGAGCGATAACCGAGCCGTTACTGGGCCCCCAACCCCTTAATCTATCCCTTAATAATATTACATTGTTTTATGATTCTGACCACCAATCGGCATGAAGGGCCAATCTAGTAGCAAGGGCACTTGAACTGTCCTGGCGGGTCAAGTTGCCCCGGGTGCCCTGGGTTTACCAGCGCAGATGAATGACTCCGGCAGTCCTTTTGTAAATGGCATCTGCGACACAGAGGCAGGCACGTGAGCTTCGTAGAAGTCAACGTGACTTTATTAGGAGGGGGGTGGACTTATTTTCCGCTGGCTGTCATGTAAATTGCAGAGCATGGGCGATCGGTCGTGGCGTTGCGCAGGGATGATTGTGCGCGCGAGGGGCAGGGGCAACTGTTTGCGCAGCTTTCCATGCTGATCCACAATTCCTTTGGGGTCAGCGGTTTTTCTTTTCCTCATGCAGAAGCTTGGCTCTAGTAGAAATTGCTACGAGATTATATTTACATGCAATGCCCGTGAATGCATTCTATTGCAGTAAACACGTTCCAGCCAAAGTGTTGTCTTCACATGACATGCATTTTTTGAAGGTATACAATTATATGACGAAAGCAGAAACCTTGATGGGAACTTACTCAAGAGGAGCAGATTTCCCCGTCCCAACAACTTTAACTCAATGGAGGTTTTTTTTAGTTAGATCACGTAAATATAAGTGTGTCGTTAAACCCGCCACCACCCGACACAGCCAATTATTAAGGTTCGTCACGAGTAAGGAAATGTGCATAGACTCAGCATCAAAAAATCTCACCAAGAAAAACCAAATGTTGTTACTTCGACAATAAAACAAACTTGTTGACAAAGATTTTCGCAGCTGTGCTGTATGTTGTTCATATGCATGTTGAACTTCTTTCGCACCGTACGTTGCCAACCGTGATAATCGGAGGTTCGGGGGAAGGAAAACAAACAAAACACAGAGCAGTTCTAGAGAAATTAATTTTCAGTTTAGATTTAAGAGTGCATAGCTCCAGTGGCTTCCTAATATCTGAAGGAAGAGCATTCCAGATGGCCGCAGAAGTGCATCTGAAAGCACGCGTTGTAGTGACCATCTTTGTTCAATAGTTTGCCAAAAGCCGCTGCGAGGAAGACCGGAGCTCACGTGCTTGGTTACCTCCTTGAAGAGATCAGTAAGATATTGTGGTTCATTTGCGGCAAGCAATTTATGTGTAATGAGCGCGACCTTCTAATGTATTCGTTCGGCAACCGGAAGCTAATGCAGCTTGGTGAACACCGGACAGACACAGTCAGATCTTGCAGTGCCCGTCACGACACATGCCAAAGAATTGTGTACACGCTGCAGCTTACTCATGTTTTTGCCCGACGTCCCGTAGACTTACTGTTTCCTCTGGTCAGCCAGGGAGCTGCCGCGGCTCTGGGCGAACATGTCGAACGTGTCGGCCTTGACGGGGACAGCGCTCGACACGCCCAGCGCACTCAGGGTTCCCGTTACGCTGTCTCCGGCCACACCTGCGACGACAGGGCAACCACAAACTTGCAAACGTTCCACAATTAGCCCGTGGTTCTGTCGGGGCAACGGCTGCTCTAAGTCGATTTGCATTCATGCTCATATGAGCAAAGCAATGATTATGCACGGATCTTTATTGAAAAAATTACAATGCTCACGTATGCACACGTCAATTGATAAGTGCGTCTAAAAATCCATAATTTATGATTTGATTGCATGCACAACGCAACACTGAGCCAAATTAAAGGCCACGGAAGCGATTAAGATCGACAATACATAAGTGGCTGTACACAAAGGGGACCGACAAATATTTCATTTTACCTTTTAAAAATCCACACGGGGTCCATTTTTACTCCCATGCCTTACTTTCCCGAGGAATATGCAAATGCATGATTAAATTGTGCAATGTAAGTGACCGAACAAACATACATTTCTTCGTGTCAAAGAAAATAATTCCCCAATTCAGTTGATACAAGTGGCACGAATCCTGGTCTACCAGACTTCATATATCCCAAATTCCATTCACAAAGTCTGACAAAGCGAGTGGGCCCCGCACTCCCCCCGAGGACATGATCAGAATGCAGTAGCAACTTATTTTCCTGAAATATACAGACAAAACACATTTCACACTCAACATGCTCGCCTTCACTGCCATGGCCACCACAGAGGCAGCTGGCGTGCAGCCCAGGTGATAAAACACGTGCTTAGAAGCGTCCCCCTGCTGTGAGTGAGGCTTTGCTGCGGTGGACGTACCGATGCTGGCCAGCTGGCTGGCTAAGGAGTTGCTCGCCACATCTGCCGGGTTGGTGGCCAACGCGCCGGGTCCCGGGTTTTTTAGGCCGTCTGGAAACGTGTTACTTGACGCCTGATGGTGACGGACACGCAAAGCACACAGCGATCCCGGCTCGACTCGACACGCAGAGCAATGTAGAATATATGCAGGACAATAATCGGTATGGTTAGTCCTTAAAACAAATATATACATGGTATTCTATCGTGCTCGATGATAAACACAGCAGGCTTCACTACCCTTAATTTAAAACAAAATATTATTTTAAAATAATAAAAATGTTTTTTTGTACTACTTATACTTTTTCCACAGCCTCCCCGAGTATGTGTTTTGTTTGCATTTTGACCACAAGCATTGTGGTTAATGCAGACATGATTCCTTGTAAAAGGTTTCAGTTTGGTGTTTTAACATCTTAACACCTGTTTTGTTGGCAGAAAAAAGGGGAAAAACGTATTATCAGCCTCGCCGAGTTTAATCATTAATTTTCATGACAGTCCCCCGCTTGGGATGTTTCGTCATTTTTTCTGCGTGTTTTTTTCATTGCACGGAGATCAAAGGAACGGGAGAGAATTCTCACGATAATAAGATAACACTCAAAACTCCAGAGTCAGTCATCAATTTTCACGTTGTACAGCTACCGAAAGGCTACGAAAACCCCATCGCCAAGCTGGGCATCAGTGAGCCAACAAGCTGAGCAGCTCAATCTGGTCAATGTTTATTATGAATGCAGAGTATAAAAATGTCCAGGTGATTTACTGCTCAAATGATCATCGAGGCAAAAGTTAATCTCCCGTTTACAGTTCTGAGCCAATGGTGGAAACTCCACATTCCTATGGCTGGGATGAGCCTATCCATAGGACAATGCTCGACAAAATCCCTACACAAGTGGTACTCATTTTATTTATTCACCCCAGAAAGATAAAAAGCCAAGTCAACCCCCAACTCCTGTTATCTCACACCGATCGATTTGATGTCCGGCCCCACGAGTTTAACCTGCCCTGATAATCACACGCTGGCTCGGAGGAGGCCCACTTCAACAGAGGGGACCGGTGGATTTTTATCGCGACGTTCCAAATGACACGGCTAAGCGTATGATCCTACAGTGCCCCCTATCTACCCACCGCAGGCCATGCAGATGCAAATCTGTGCGCTAACGTACACCGACTTCACTCGTGTGTACGTCGAAATCCCGGCGAGCCGGATCAATAGGTGATGATAAGCCCTGGGTCCGGTGAGCTGAAAAATCCAGCTAGCTGCTAAACTCATAATTGAAATCTATTTTCAATAAACAATAACAATGTATTAATGTATACATGTATTGCCGTGAATGTATTCGTGTGTGTGGGGAGCGGTAGTGTAGTGGTTAGCGTGCTGCTCTACGAACCCGGCGACTCGAGTTCAATTCCCACTCACGACCAACACCAGTGACGATTATCTGAACCGGTCCTGGGCCTCCCCTAGGTGGACTCAGCCTCAAATGAGCACTTGGTGCGGTGTGTTAAACATTGCCACTGGGGAGACAAAAGCGGCCGGGCGCGGTGCAGGCCACCCACCTCCCTTGTGTGCTGTGCCGGCCATCATAGGTGCTCGCTAACAGCACTTGCCCAAACAGTCTGTTACAGACTAACAAATAACAAGCACTGAGGTACATTATGTGCTGGTGTGTACTGTGCTGTATGGTATTAATGTCCGTCAGTCAGAGGTCACGACCCCCCCCCCATCCCTTCGCACTCCCCCTGCTCGCCATCCCCAACACGAAACGTAGCAGCAAGCCCGGCAGCAGGATGGTCATCTGGCACTCGTTCCTCATGTCCCTTGGGGTCAAACGCCCCCCTCCCCCGCCCCCCTTTCTGCCAAGTCATCATTGCCGATCTCGTCATGGAGCATAAACCGTCACGCGAACTCCGGCCATCCTCGCAGTGGCTTGTCTAGCCATCGAACAACGTCCGATATTAGAAATCCGCTGGAGCCATGCACTTAAATCTAGATTGAAAACCCATTTCTTTAGAACTGCTATTTTTGTTTAGATTGTTGTCCTTCCCCCGCACCTCCGATTAGCACGAAGGAGGCTGCTCTCCTATCTTACAGTTACAAGCTAATATCTCACATTGACATCACTAGCCCCACTTCGTTATGACCCTTGAGCTACACTCATTTCAAACCTTTTAAAACAGTCTGCCTCAGCAGCAGACCATGCTTTCCCACCTGATGACGGACGCTTGTGTTGCGCCCGAAACGTCGTGATTTATTTTACTTTCTACCTACGTGACTTTACCCAAAGAACCAAAGAGTATGGATTCCTGCAGTGACGAAAGCTTCAAATCAAGATTGGTATGAAAGAGGTTCAATATACATACGTATCTCCCTAAGTACATTCATGACAGATGAACCACATATTTTACATTTTACACAAGATAGCATGTTCTAGTGCATTTTAATTACGCATTATAACATGTAAATAACCTTACATTTACTTTTTTGCATTATATTAACATTTTATATTTAATTTAAATATGCCAACCTGGTCTCGCTAAATGTAATATTCGGCTCGCCAGGGTTTTACTGTACTCTACATTTTACCAATTAGCAAGCCATAGTTATAATATTATTTGGGTCTTTCGGTAAAGTCACGTAGATAGGTACAAATAAAAAAAACTACGACGTTTCGATTACAACACAAGCGATCATCATCAGGTGTGAAATCCACAGCAAGAAAATTTGAAAAAGTGGCGGTTTTTCAAATTTTCTTGCTGTGGATTTCATACCTGATGATGATTGCTTGTGTTGCAGTCGAAACGACGTGAGACTTTTTATTGTTTTATATTTTTATTATTTTATTATTTCCCTTCTACGAGACTTTACCGAAAGAACCAAGAATATGAATCCCCTGCAGTCACGAAAGCTTTCAATCAAAGTTGTTGTTGTTATCGTTGTTGTATCCTCAAATCTTGTAACTCAATTTTAACCCACTTCCCAATGTGGTATCGACTGCAAACTTGGTATACTTATGTCATACTGATGACAACACTATATTCTATCATCAAAAATATATATTTTTAAACATTATTTTTTTAATGTTATGTTTCGGCTTGGGTCTAATTGTCCACGCTCAACTGACGTTGGCTGTAATTGGCCACAGTCCCTTACGTCATGTCAAGCTTCGGGGCCACTTCCTGGAGTCGTGGAGTTCTGCCATTACTAGTACATTTCATAAAAGCGTGTTTAAAAGAAAGTTTTTTAAAAATATGACTTATTTATAGGGTGTAGTCCTAGGATCATAAACAGAGTGGGCGGGGCTAGTGATGTTAATGTCTCATAGTCGAAACACACCCGTGTGCTGTACTAGTAACGCATGGAAACTTTTGTTGACGTCACAAACCTTCCCAATTGCGTGTTGGGTGGCGGCAGGTGAACGACACATTTTTATTTATGCGATTTAACCCAAAATAACCTCTATTATGGAAATACAATTATTTCATTTGCTGAACGTATCTGCAGAAACGTGGATCTAACTCGGCATAAAAAAATATATACTACCACGGTTTGTGGTAGTGGGTAATAGATAACAATTAAGAAACGCACACAAATCAGTTTCATCATGTAAACATTAAATATTATACACATTCAGAACATTAGACCTCCTTTGCCAGTACCAAAATATAATAATAGGGGTTTTCCCCCTTTTTTCTGGCAACAAAACTGAAACCTTTTTATAAGGAATCATGTCTGCATTAACCACAACACGTGTGGTCAAAATGCAAACAAAAAACACACTGGTAATATATGCATTGTCCTTGAAACTGATTGGTCCACACCAGGGACGGCTTTCTTTTTAATAAATGTGTGACAGCTTCGTCTAGCCGTCCCTTGGTGTGGACCAATCAGTTTCAAGGACAATGCATATATTATCATAGTGTGTTTTTTGTTTGCATTTTGACCGCAAGTATTGTGGTTAATGCACACATGAATCCTGGTGAAAAGGTTTCAGTTTTGTTGCCAGAAAAAAGGGGAAAAACCCTATTATAATATTATTATAACATCATGGTTACTATTCAAGTGTAATTTCATGAGCTTTTATAATGGGATCCATGAGATTATTAATACATGTTGGGTTATAAGTCTGCAGGTTCCGTGTATATTATATTAAACAATTAAGAGTGGGTCTTTAGTGTCTAGAGGTTTGGGATACATGTTACACGAAGTGGAATAAATGTTTTTTGTAGATGGCGTTATGCAAACAGCTACACTTTGAGCTTTTAATGACTTACGGCGAGACGAAGCTGTCACGCACATATCAAATCAGACGAATGCCAAGAGACGTTATATCAAAGTCCAGTGCGGCAACAAAAGTGTGTAAACAGAACGGATGCCTCTGTGCATCACGTTCGTCGCCTGTCATCACTGCCGCGCCACGCAGCACCACCCGGAGTTACGAGGAGGTGCACCCTGCAGGCTGACAGCGATTCCCTCTCTCTCCGCAGTCCCGTGGATTTCTTTTTTTCTCTCTGGGTCCTCCAGTTGTTTCCCTCCACATTTAGAAACGTGCGTTCACACGAGATTATTTTGCTGCTACAAATGTCCACGTGATAAGCCACTTCGTTGAGCTATTATTTGAAGCCAGGTAGTTTCTGAAAAAGCTATATAGTTCAGTGGTCTTTACTTGATAAGATAATAAATATTTTAGTTGTTTTTTTAAAGTGATTTGTTTACATACTCTTTGGTTCTTTCGGTAAAGTCATGTAGGTATAACATACAATTCTTGCTGTGGTTTTCCCACCTGATGATGATTGCTTGTGTTGCAATTGAAACGTCGTGATTTAATTTATTTTATACCTACGTGACTTTACCTAAAGAACCAAAGAGTATGGGTCCCCGCAGTCATGAAAACTTCAAATCGAAATTGATTTGTTTCCTATACTTTGCACTCCTATCGTGTTTTTGTATTGTTTGTTATAATGTTCTGACCTGTCCCGACTGGATGGACATCTGTGAAATAGAGCTTCATAGCTCACCGGATTCCTCCAGTATATTCTGATTCTGATATGAAAAGGTGGTGTTGAGGCTGTCGAGATTCAGAACCCGTTGTGTTCCGTGCACTCTGTGGGACATCCGTTCGTTCGAAAGGAATGTCGGGGAAGTGAGCGACTCGATTCGGTGACGGCAAAACACGCTCTCTGCTGATGAGCGCCGGCGGTGAGACAAATTCATAAGAGCAGCAACTTCTGATAAACGGCGAATTACAGTTTGGAACGTCGTGGGTGCATAGCTGATATTGCACAATGCAAAAAAACCTGACCTGGTTTCTATACACACAGACGGGGGGAGGGGGGGGTGGGGTCGATGCTCGATTCAGCTGGGAAGTATTTGAGCGCGTCTGTCCGCCTTGCACAGCGAATAACCACCATCACACCATCACGATCGGTCGGTCGGCAAAAACCCGCGGAGGAGCAACAACACTCACGGCCTGGGAGCTCGGAGCCGCCGGTTGCCTGGAGGTGGCGGCGGCGAGCGCGCCGGGCTCGGCGGCGAGCGCGTCCTCCGTGGGGTCCTGCTGCGCCGCCCGGCTCGCCCGGTATCTCTCGAACCTGCGGCAAAGAGAAATGCCTCGTCGCTGCCGTGATAGAATGTCACGGAAAAGTGCCTGCCGTTCGTGAGTTATCAACTGACAGAGACGAAAGATCCCCCCCCCCTCCCTCCGCGCCCTCCCCACCAGACTGTTGGGGCGAGTGCCGCTAGCGAGTAGCAGCACCTACGAAGGCCGGCACGGCACACGACGGGGTGGGTGATCAGCACCACACCCGGCCACCTTTGTGTCTTGAGAGGCAATGTGTTTACACACCTGGTACTCATGTGGTCAGGCCGACTCGACCTAGGGGAAGGCCCAGGACTGGTTCAGATCATCGTCACTGTTGTTGGCCGTGAGCGGGATCGAACTCGTTTCGCACGGCTCACAGCGCAGCGCGCTAACCGCTTCGCTACCGCTCCTCGCCTATTGGGGCCACCGTGGCACAAGCGCTTGACGAGGTCAACATCGCACGCGGTTTTCATTGCATCAAACAAAGGGCTCGCTTATGGCAATGGACCACAACCAAGTGCTCATTTTATGACGGGTCTAGGTAGGAAATTTTATTCAAACTGGGTAAATGTGCATGCTACTATCGAGGTCTGCTAGCCAAACTACACAAAACTTTCTCCTGAAGCTCCCTCGTGGCTAGCAGACTCCAGCGTTGTCATTTAGCTCCTGAAGCACATTGCTGCCATGCGAAAGAATAGAATATGCATGCATGGTAAATCCTCACTGAACTGATGTTCACACAACACGCTTTCACGATAACACGGTTCTTCCATTAGGGAATACACAACGTGGGATGTACCCGTTATAACGCTAACCGCGCACCGTCATAACGCTGAACGCGCACTGTTATGCTGTAGTTTGAGCGGTCGACGACGGACTACTCTTTGCTGAGCTGCGCGGCTGAGCGGTGTGATACAGTACGCAGAATGACACAGTAACGCAGCGGCGTACCCTCAGGTATTTGTTCCGCCATCTCCATGCGAGGTGTGCATAGTACATCGATCGTATCTCGCCAAACTTTATCGTGACATTATTTATGGGGAAATTGTTTTCGCTTAACGCGGCACTTTTCAGGAACGCACCTACCGCGTTAAACGAGGACTCGCTGCATCGCGCTTTGTCAAAGCGCTTCACCATTTGTGGTCTGTGCGGGTTAAATGTAGGCAGCGTAAACGTGAGAGCAATAGTGCAGAACCTCCGATTAGCATGGTTGGCTACGAACGGTGCGAAAGAAATTCAACAAACATGCAGTACAACGGCGGATTTGTCCTCACTACCTTCGGCTGCCCGCCACGTAGAGCAGCGGCCACAACCGGGCATTTGTTCAAACGAGTCGTCGAGTGCGAACGCAACTATGGCGGGACAAGGACGGTGGTACGAGCTCGGGGCGTTGCCCCGGTGTGCGCTCTACCGGTCGTATCGGAGGAAGATGTTGAGGAGATCGTCGTTGACCCGCAGGAGTTCGGCCGTCACCTCGTCGCTGGAGACGCGCGGGACCAGTTCGATGACCCTTTGCTGCATGGTGCGGCACGTCTGATGCAGGGCCTGACGAGCAAATGGCGCAGCGAGGAAACGGGCGAAGGCGTGCGCTGAAATTTTTCACGAGCATTTGCCGACACTGCGATGTGGCTGGCAGTGGTGCACAAACACAAATAACAACAACTCGCATTCATCAAGAATACGGACTTAAAAAGGGAAAAATATATATTGGCCAATGTTTCAGACAATCGGCATTCTTTATATGTGCTACGTAGAAGGGGTATTGTAAGGCAGTGTGATTTGCAAAGACCAGTTCACTGCTCTGCATGTTAATGCTCTTTAAGTGCTGGCTCATGCCTTTGCATATTTGGTTTATCTGTCAACAGCCAAATGTTGTGACTTTGCAAAGGAAATTTTCTGACCTTGCAATATCTTCCCTTAAAATAAAATCTGTTTATCTAAGGATTTGCAACGATGTCATTATTTACGTACCTTTTTTGAGAGGAATAAATTAACATGCTCCAAATTAAATTATTTCACCACATTAACATTCACCAGCTGAGTGACTGTGCATTTTATTATTCTATTTTATTTATATATATCGCCCTGTAATATTCCACTATTATCACAGTGGAATATTACAGTCGGGATCCAACCCACGACCGCCTGTATACCAGGCGAGGTAGTTAACAAGCTCACCATCGCAGCGCCCTTATGCCTTCAACTGCACACATTAATTCGTAACAGCGGGGAACGCAATGCTCCGAGCGATCGGCACCTGCAGCAGCTGCAGGTCCGAATCCTCCACCTGCCCTGGCACCAGCTCCGTCAGCATCTGGGACATCACCTTCACGTTACACTCGACAATGTCCAGCTCGCTCCGCAGCTTTGCAACCTGGAACACAACAGGGCAGCAGTGTGTCTGGGAGAACCACGTCTGCACACAAACCAGGAACCGTTTACAATGGTCAAGTGCAGTCCCAAGCTGGGAAAAGTTGTTGCATCTTCCAGGGTGATGGTGCAGTTACTGTACTCGGAGCAAAATGTTCTATTTTAAAGCTAATGTAATTTGAACTTCTTTCGCAGAGTACGTAGCCAACTACGCTTAATCGGAGGTTCTGGGTAGAGACAACAATTAATCGAATCATGCCGGGAACGAATCATTGCACGTCTTGACAAAAAGAGACAAACTGAGCATGGAGAACGAGGTGGGAGAAGGAAGATGCAGACAAGCCGTGTGATGCTGTTGCCTCTGTGTGCCGACCTGTTCCGGAGTGGGAGAGATGGGTCCAGCCGCCACGGACGCCGCGTGGGCGTGGGCGGGGGGCAGTGGGTGCGGGGGCGCAGAAGCCGACATTGCCGCGGTGCCCGGGGCAGGCCGACCCCCCTGGGAGGTGTTCCTCACTGCAGGGTCCACCTCCGGCGTGCTCTGCAGCGTCGTCACACAGACGGCACGAGGATGACAGGCGGCACGGTTAACCCTTTCCACGTTCCGAGATGACTGCAAGATGCTGGGCAGGTCCCCGTTATCACTGAATCTCGGAACGCACAGGCAGTTCAGAGTTCATTTTATTTAGGCGCCGTTATTCTTAAAGACACTGCACTCACCGCAGAGAACTGTAGAGGACAAGACCGCACTCTATGAAAGCTGGTGCCAAACTGTGGCAGTACGCCCTCCCGCATGGCCTTGTGGGAGCCTCAGTACCAATAACATTATTTGATTTGATTTTTTCTTTCGGTTCCGGAATGGAAAAGGGTTAATACGCGTGTCACAATATTCTGCCTCGGCCATTCTATTGATAGTAACGATTCAGGGTAACCATTCTATTTTTTTCCTCAAATTTTTACAACCTTTGATTCATAGACAGAATTTTCCATAAATGCTGCATTAGCATAACAATCACGTTTTAAATCACCCAGTGCAGCTGCGCCGGTTTTCAAAGTACGCCGGTGACATGAGGCGCAGGCCTGGAATGTGCTCTCAGCACGCCGCGACATCATGAGATCATCACTCACCACTCGCCCACTCGGCTCGGTTAAGATTGTGGACTACGCGGTTACACACACACACAAAAAAGCTAAATTCAAAATAGCATCAATAATATTGGCAAGGCAAAGGTACGACCCTGAAATGACTTGCTCACGCGACTGTTGGCGGAAGGGCCTGCACTAGGAGTTCGAGAGGGCATTTGGCCCACTCTCCTACCATGGGCAGACATCTTGGAAGTGGTGGTAATACTCAACACCTTAGCCCACTGCACGCAACCTGCTGATCGACTAATTGTGGTGTCCCCGTTTATGCTGCTGGGTGGACAGAGGTAGGGCGATTTCAGAATCTCGCCCAGTGTTTCTACTGCCGTGCCAGGAGATTGAACCGGCGACCTCTGGAACGGTCACTGCATCGCGCGCTTTCAGATGTGCCTCCGACGGCCGTTTAGAACGCTCTTTCCTTCCGATATTAGGAAGCCACCAGAGCAATGCACTTTTAAATTATCTAGATTATTTCTTTAGAAGTGCTTTTTGTGTTTAGTTTGTTGTCCTTTCCCCACACCATGTGTGGTCAGTGTGGGTTGAATGTAGGGGACAAATGTGAGAGCATAGTCCAGTACCTCCGGTTAGCGCGGCTGGCTACGTACGGTTCTAAAAGAAGTTCAAACATACAAGTACAATGAATTACACCACGACAGCAACCCAACGTACGCTATTACAGTCATACGAGTTGTTGCCAAACATCACGTCCCAACCACAGCTCCCCTCCCCTCGCCGCCTAGATTCCTGCCAGTGAAGATTTGCTCCCGCAGGGTGGAACACGAGGTCACGGCGAGAGAGAGAGAGAGAGAGGGCGAGTATGGAGAGAGCGAAGGGCGGAGGGAGCAGAATGACACAGTGAGGACACGGGGGTTCATGTGGATGCAATTTAATCCAACCTGGATTAGCTTCAATAGGATTCAGACATCGGCATGGGTTTGACCTAAATATAATTATCCGCAGAAAGAACACAAGTCCCTTAAGATGCGTGTGCTCACGGCATTGCCTAAAACTAAGTGCCAAAACAAAAACAGTGGCCCTATAATTAAATACGTTCATATAATTAAATACGTTAATATCAAGGGCCACAAGATGCCTGCAGGAGATAGAACGGACATGTTCGATGTCAATCCATAGTTTGAGTGTTCTCCACTGTAGGTGTGGGTTTCTCACCAATCCAGTTGTGACCTACCTACAATGTGGTGCAAAAGCTAATTTACCACGATAAAGTGCAACTCATTATCTTGGTAAATTAACTCTAGTCTATCCTATGCATGCACAAAACTGAGAAATAACATATCCCGGTGAAAACCGTCCTGAAAATGAGTCTTGAAAATTCAGAAAGGCTTCCCCAGGAAGAGAATGAAATTGCATAATCGGTGGTGAACCATGCTTTAGCACAAGCGAAGTAACCTGGTGGAGTTGCTAATGGCACCACGGTGGTGAGATGTTAACTACTTCGCATGGTATACATGATGTCGTATGTTTGATCCCGAAATTGACGCCTGTTGTATATTTGGAGTTTGCATGTGTCTCTCCCCGTGGTCGCGTGGATTTTTCTCCAGGTCCTCCAGTTTTTCTCTCCACGTTTAGAAACATGCGTTTAGAGTATTTGGCTCCTATAAATGTCCACATGATAAGCCACTTCGTTGAGCTATAATTTGTGACCAGTTCGCTGCGTAAAAAGAGCTTCATAGCTCAGTGGGCCTTGCCTGGTAAAATAAAAATAGTATTAGTAGTAGGGATGAAGACAGTCCACAATCAGAGTGAGGCAATAAAGGGGTTAAGAGTGAGCATCAGGGTGGCGCAGTGGTCACACTTGAGCCTCAAAGTAGCAAGGGCCTGGCTTCGATTCTCCAATCGGGTGCTTTTTTATTACACGCCTTTATTTAACTCACTCCGTCTGTTGTCGTATCCTTAAAAAATCTTGTAACTCAATTTTAACCCACTTCCCAATGTGCTATCGACTGCAAACTTGGTATACTTATGTCATACTGATGAAAAGACTATATTCTACCATTAAAAATAAATATGGTTTAACATTTTACACGAATTTATTTCACTCAGTCGGTTGTCGTATCCTCAAATCTTGTAACTCGATTTCAACCGTCTTCCCAATGTCGTATCGACTGCAAACTTGGTATACTTATGTCATACTGATGACAATACTATATTCTATAATTAAAAATTCTAAATATATATTTTTAAACAATCTTTTTACGGGCCTAATTGTCCATGCTCAACTCACGTTGCATGTAAATCACCACGGTCCCTTACGCTATGGCAAACTGCGGGGCCACTTCCTGGAGTCGTGGAGTTCTGCCATTACGAGTACGGTACATTTCATTAAAGCGTGTTTTTTTAAAAAGTATTTTTCAATATTTATTTTCTGCGCGCAGTTTGCATGTCCCCTCTCCCTGCACGGCTTACCTTCAGGTTCTTCAGTTTCCTCCAGAGTTAAAGACAAGCCATACATTGCAACTGGTATTGGCCAACATATCCCAGTGGTGGAAATGGACACTGCAAATTGGGGTCACACACAGCAACATTGCCCCCCCTCCACAAAAACTTGGCAGGACCCTGCTGAAAATTTGCCTGAAGACTCGGTGAGGCTTTTTGGGTAAACATGCGTAATAATACGAATAAGGGTTGGAGTGCTTTTGAAAGACTTAGCAATGAAAGATTGTATGGAAAAATATATACATTCGATAGTTGCAGGCTGTTTGATTGCAGAGTATTCACCTTCACTCAGACTCGCTCACGTGTCCGAGCTCATGGTCAAGTTTACAAACTCTGACCCTGTCTGCCCTGATAGCGGTTGCGAGAACATTTCACGGCATCCACTCCACCAGCTCGCGCCCTCGCCCGAGTCAAAGGTCAGTGCATTGTTTACTCTCAGACTGCGGCGTTTCGCTATCGTGCGTCAAAGGGAGCTTACAATGTACACCGGCGCAATGAGTAAGAAAAAAGGTGGTGTCTGATAAAATCTATACAAATGTATTTTTATTTTACATTTCCTTTAGCAATAGCTTTTTCTTCATGTTTGCGGAATTTTTGTTTCATATACAGGACTGAATTGTTGTGCTGTGCAGTTTTCCTATCTTTGATTGTTAGGTCATCCTTGCGAGACACTTTGATTATAATGATACAGCTTAAAAAATGCTTCTTTAGTTTAAGCCTATACGTTAGATTTTCTGAAGTAGATGAATCAAACATATATTGAATATGAATGCCATCCAATAATTTACGAGAGTAACTTGAAGCATAAGTACAACATTTCCCTTAAAATTAACCTATTGCAATGATGCCGATTAATCAGACGTGTTCATCGGCCCTAGTACATTACCTAAACCATTTCCATGACCTGCTTACGCATATATAAAAAAATATATATAACACTAACCTTTCAGCAATGCAAACTGTAAGGTGGAACATCATGACCACGAGCTTCCAAGAAAGTCTAGCTATTAGTAAATATTTTTTTTCCCAAGATAAATAGGTTATTTATAAAGTTCTCCCTGGAAGTCAAAAAAGGGACTGCTCGCCGACCGATAAGCTGTTCCCTGCCGCCGTTCATGTCTGGACGATACCGAAGGCCGGCTGGTCAGCAGCCCGACATGCAGAACACGCGTGGCAGCCGCACGCTCACGCGCGAGTTATCGGCCGTTCAAACACATGCGCACTTTAATAGATTCCCCCACAGCCTCGCATCCGCTACGAGCAATGCTCGTGAAACCAGCGGCAATGCTATCGAGCAGGCAGGCAGTGCAACTGCACTGGGGGGCCCCACGGCACAAAGGGGACCCCCCCCCCCTTAACTCCTGGCACCAAGGGCTGACCGATACCGACCAAGCTATGCCCACTGTCATGATGACTCTCCAACGGCTGAAAAACAAATTGCATTGCCGACCCGCATCGTCAAATAATGCACACAGTCTGCCTACAGCATCAAGGCAACGCAAAATGCCATCTCCTCCAATGCCAGAGCTGAGAAGAGTGTCTGGATCTGCCGAAGGGGAGTTTGGCACTTAGAAATGCATTTCGGCAAATTGTATCACAATGTTAACTCTGCAACAATAAAAGGTGGCAAACGTCAACATTTTTTTATCTCTCGCACTACCTTGTAATCCTGCGTACTTGCAATTTTCAGCCAAATCAAGTATTCGGCCAAATCATTCGAGTCAAGCAAGAACAGCGTCGTACGATTACTTTGCAAGATAGACACTTGCATGATAAGAGACAAGGCCCATTTGGGGTAGAATTAGAAGGGAAATAAAAACTGTAACAATGTGTGTAAACCATTCAAAGAGCTTTGTGGTGGTCACGGACCCGCTGTGGAGTGTGGATAGGGGAGAGCGCATCAAGGTCGGTCATGGGAAACTCCACACCCTTCCTCTTGAGGTCCTCGTACACGTGTACCACTCCCGTCAGGTCCGGAGCACTCCGGAACGCATCCGCCCATGTCTGAAAAACGAATAATGACGACATAGATTTAAATTCACATAGCATCCAAATGTAATCGCATCTCCGGATGCGTTCCTAAAAATAAAATATCGACGGCTGGTAGAATGGGGCGGTGGAGGTGGTTATAGCAGAGAAACAAGGTGGGGGGAGAGAGAGGAGAGAGTGCAACTTCTCCGTCACCAATAAAAACAAAATTAACAACAAAACAACGACTCAAATATACAACAACCGCCATTCCACACGAAGTGGCTATGTGCCCTCTAAGGCCACATGAAGTGTCAAATGCCCACTTTCCGGAAGGGGGTCATGGGACAGATCCAGGTGCCATGGGTTGACTGACTGAGATGCATGGCAGATGCACCAGCTGTGCCCCCTACTACTGTGTCAAATATACAACCATGGCAGCACCAACGAGTTCCCGGGGGCGAAGGATGGGTCCCATCGTCAACGAGTCAGAGGGCAGTCCCGGTGATGGACAAGATAAACAGTTCTTATTTGACCTAGTGTATTATTGGTAAGTATTGTTCGAGAGCAATTAATGAAGAGATGGAGCAGACAGTGCGACACTCCCCAGTGTCGATGCGGAGAGATTTGAGGCAGTCAATCAGACGAGGCGCAGACAAGGCAGGCTCTGGTCCCATCTGCCAATGCCAGATAACAGGCCCCAGTTGCGGTGATCGTAATAGATTGTAACAAATATTACGTAATGTTTGTGCTATCGGCGATGATCATGAGTGACATAAATAGATAAAAACCATCTCCCTATGCACACACACAATTTTTTTTTCTGTATGCTTACTCCGAATCATGCTCGACAGTGTATGGGTTTTTTGTTGTCTTTGTATAACACCGTTTTATTGGACTCGTCTTGTTGTCTGTTTATTTTCTTTCAAATGTTTGACGATTAATATCTTCGGAAAGCCTAACGAGCTGAAATATTCTACACACTCGCGCCTCGTGTGACAATTCAAGATTTCATTTTAAAAAATCTACCCTTCCCCCCACCCCCCCCTTTGTGAAATCACGAATGGTCGTGCCGAGCTACGAGGGCAAACATCTAGTCCAATCAGAGCTGCTGTTGCTGGGCAGCCCATGACCAATGAAAGACGCGCTTAGATCGCTGCTCTTCATGGCGCCGCAACAACCATTGTGGTTACCTCGTCCTTAGCGCAAAACCAACAGGTACAATATTAATAATGACTACTATTGGTATTCTTAACATAATGCAGTAAAACCTTGGATTGCGAGTAACTTGGTCTGCGAGTGTTTTGCAAGACGAGCAAAATTTGTAAATAAACATTAATTTGATAAACGAGCGAGGTCTTGCAATACGAGTAGTACGTGTATACGCTTGTCTGCCGAGCGTCACGTGATCACAACTGATATACGAGTGCTTTGGATTACAAGCACGTTTCCAGAACGAATTATGCTCGCAATCCAAGGTTTTGCTGTACTTAGAAATAGCATTATTTGATTTTGCAACGCCCATTATGACGCGCTGAGGGCGGCATGGCTATGCTGAAATTGCACGAGCAGGTGAGACTGTGATCATGATTTCCATTTAAATGTCATCATGTTATCGCCATTACAATCGACAACATTTTCTAATTGCACGGTGTAACAATTTTTTTTTTGTTCCTGGGAAGTAAGTGTTATTTCCTAATTGCTTATGCCTCAAAAGTACAGAAAATGGCTATTATTCCCCACAAACTTTGCTTGTGACCAGGACAGTGATTTCGATTTAAAGCTTTCGTGACTGCAGGGATTCATCTTCTTGGTTATTTCGGTAAAGTCACGTAGAAGGGAAGTAATAAAATAATAAAAATAAAACATAATAAAATAATTCTCACGACGTTTCGGCCACAACGCAAGCAGCCGTCCTCAGGTGAAGACCAGGTCTGTCACCGTCTCCCCGACAGACCTGGTTTTCACCTGAGGACGGCTGCTTGCGTTGTGGCCGAAACGTCGTGAAAATTATTTTATTATGTTTTATTTTTATTTTATTACTTCCCTTCTACGTGACTTTACCGAAAGAACCAAGAAGAAGAACAGGACAGTGATATTTTGAAATTTACCCATTTTCAATGAGAAAACGGGAAAATTTGTCTTTTCGTTCACATAAAGTCAGAAAAAAACAACATATGAATCAAAATTACCATGTATTTATACTAAAGTAATAAAAAAAATTACTACAAAAATTTAAAAGCACCCTGTACAATATACGTGCCATTACACAATGGCAGCATCCCAACGTATGCTATTGTAATCATACGAGTTGTCGCTAAGTCCAGGTGTTCTGTGTTAACCAATGTACCGCAGGAGCAGCAACATTGGCATCATCTCTCATGTATTCAGTGTTCCCTCGTTATTCGTGAGGGATACGTTCTGGAGATGATCGTAAATTGAAAATTTCACGGATAATGATATTGGCCTAACAAATCGTTTTAATTAATTACCTTAAATAAATACGTAAATAATCAAAACAAATAAGTAGTTACAATAAACATAATGTAAATAAACATTTAAACTATTAAATAAGTTTATAAATGAACTTTCCTTAAATAATGATGAAGCCACGCATCATCACTTTATCTCATCACTTTCTTGCATCACCTCTCGCATCACCTTCTCTATTCTTGGTTCTTTCGGTAAAGTCACGTAGAAGGGAAATAATAAAATACTAAAAATAAAACATAATAAAATGAAATTCTCGCGACGTTTCTGAAAGTTAGCGTCTTAATTAGGACGCTGTCTTTCCGACAGCTCTATTTCTTCACCTGAGGACGGCTGCTTGCGTTGTGGCTGAAACGTCGTGGGAATTTTATTATATTGTTTTATTTTTATTATTTAATTTTTTCCATTCTACGTGACTTTACTGAAAGAACCAAGAATATGAATCCCTGCAGTCACGAAAGCTTTAAATCGAAAAAAAAAATCACCTTCTCTCTCATCCCTTTAACTCTCATCACTTTCTTTGGCTCTCTTCCCGCAGTCGTGTAGCGTTCCAGATGCGATTTGCGTATCGCCAAAAATCTCGCAGGCTCGTGAATAACGAGAGAATACCGTGACGTGAAACGCGACCCGGGTGTGAGAACGTACGTGCGTACGTACGTGTATTTTAACTTCTTTCGCACCGTACGTAGCCAACCGCGCTAATCGGAGGAGTGGGTGAACACACTGACCTACACCACCTGTGCACCTTTGTGTGGGTGAACACGCTGCTGACCTGCACCAGCTGTGCACCTTTGTGTGGGTGAACACACTGACCTGCACCAGCTGTGCACCTTTGTGTGGGTGAACACACTGCTGACCTGCACCAGCTGTGCACCTTTGTGTGGGTGAACACACTGCTGACCTGCACCAGCTGAGCACCTTTGTGTGGGTGAACACACTGCTGACCTGCACCAGCTGAGCACCTTTGTGTGGGTGAACACACTGACTTGCACCAGCTGAGCACCTTTGTGTGGGTGAACACACTGCTGACCTGCACCAGCTGTGCACCTTTGTGTGGGTGAACACACTGCTGACCTGCACCAGCTGTGCACCTTTGTGTGGGTGAACACACTGCTGACCTGCACCAGCTGTGCACCTTTGTGTGGGTGAACACACTGCTGACCTGCACCAGCTGAGCACCTTTGTGTGGGTGAACACGCTGCTGACCTGCACCAGCTGAGCACCTTTGTGTGGGTGAACACACTGCTGACCTGCACCAGCTGTGCACCTTTGTGTGGGTGAACACACTGCTGACCTGCACCAGCTGTGCACCTTTGTGTGGGTGAACACACTGCTGACCTGCACCAGCTGAGCACCTTTGTGTGGGTGAACACGCTGCTGACCTGCACCAGCTGAGCACCTTTGTGTGGGTGAACACACTGCTGACCTGCACCAGCTGTGCACCTTTGTGTGGGTGAACACGCTGACTTGCACCAGCTGAGCACCTTTGTGTGGGTGAACACACTGCTGACCTGCACCAGCTGAGCACCTTTGTGTGGGTGAACACGCTGACTTGCACCAGCTGAGCACCTTTGTGTGGGTGAACACGCTGCTGACCTGCACCAGCTGAGCACCTTTGTGTGGGTGAACAGGTTGACCTGTACCAGGCTGTGCACCTTTGTGTGGGTGAACACGCTGCTGACCTGCACCAGCTGTGCACCTTTGTGTGGGTGAACACACTGACCTGCACCAGCTGTGCACCTTTGTGTGGGTGAACACGCTGCTGACCTGCACCAGCTGAGCACCTTTGTGTGGGTGAACACGCTGCTGACCTGCACCAGCTGTGCACCTTTGTGTGGGTGAACACGCTGCTGACCTGCACCAGCTGTGCACCTTTGTGTGGGTGAACAGGCTGACCTGCACCAGCTGTGCACCTTTGTGTGGGTGAACACACTGCTGACCTGCACCAGCTGTGCACCTTTGTGTGGGTGAACACGCTGCTGACCTGCACCAGGCTGAGCACCTTCTCCTGCACGATGGTGGGGGGGTTGTTCTTGGGCTGGATGATGCGCACCAGGACCCCGTCCACAAAGTCCTGGCTGGCGATGAGCACGTGAAAGCGGTGGCCGCAGTTTTTCACACACGTCTCCAGCACCTGGATGGACAGGTGACCATAATGGGATAGCCTTTTCACGTCAGATGCATCTGCACTACAGCGTTAATAATAATAATTTACGCATATTAGTAAGGCGCCTTCCACTAATGTTCGTTAGATTTTAGCACAGACTAGGGAGCAAAGGATTTAACAGTATACGGCGGGACGACGGCAGAGATGGAGCGATTAAATGAACTTGTGTGTGCAGGAGCTAGACGGATTGGCACTACGCAGGGCTGCGAGTGGTGGCTAAGGCTCGGGAAGTGGATTGAGCATTCCCGATGATGAACGCTCCTGCATAGTAATAGGTTTTTACCCTTTCAACTGGTACAAAAACTGACACCTTTATAAAAGGCATCATGTTTGCTGTACGCCTTTTGGCATCATCTGGTCCAACACCAATGGAGACTAGGCTCTAAGAAAAGCTGTCTCGGGTGTGTACCAATCAACTTCAAGGACAGTGCATATCATCATCAGAGTTGTTTCTTTTTGTTTGCATTTTGACTGCTTGTGTTGTGGTTATTGCAAACATGATGCCTTGTATAAAGGTGTAATTTTTGTACCAGTTGAAAGGGTAAAAACCTATTACTATATTTTGCCACTGGTAAAGGAGGTCTCAGTGTAAAAGCTCTTGCATAGGTCACGGAGTTTGAAAGACTCTTCTGCCCTGCATCCACAGCCACGACAGATGGCGCCACAGCGCCTCACCCTGGCAGGTGAATGAAACATCCGTCGACGCTTACAAGGTGGGACATGACGCTCGGGGCAGCGCACGGCATGCGGTGTGCGCGTGCAGAGCAGTAGGAGCAGGGCGCGTACCGTCAGCGCCAACATGACCTCCTTGAAATTCTTGTTTCCACCGATGCGCTTCTTCAAGGCCTTCACGGCATCTTTAGGCCTGAGGACAGAAACGTCAAAAGAGATATTTCACAACGAAGCAGGGTCTTGGCTACTTTAATGTTTGTTGTGTCTGGACAATGATCCAGTTCACCCAATCGCCTCCAATTCTGTCTCAAGATATACATGCACCACTCCCTTAGGAACCAGGCCAGCTGTGCTTACATTCGTAGCATGCTCAGATGAAAAAGTTTATCTTTGAATTCCACACCACAAATGTAATAATCAAGAAATTGTTACTTATATGAGAACAATGCTTATACAAGGCACGCTTGGATCCAGCTGCTACTGATCAACCCATTTGTGCTATTGTTGTGATGTTTATACGAGTCTGAAAAACACAACAAAATAAAAACAAGCAAGGTTACACTCAACTGTTATATAGCAGATGTTAAAACTGTATAGTAATTAGGTACAGGACAGGATAATACTGGTAGGAACCACCTGGTTCCACCAGCCCACAGGGGATTATTGTGTCCGTCCGTCGTGCATCCAAAAATGAGAGGGGTGGGGCTGGGTGGAGAGGGGAGGGTGGGAAGGGGCTGGATGGGGTGGGTGGGAAGAGGCTGGGTGGGGAGGGTCTAGGTGGGGAGGGTGGGGCTGGGTGGGGGGCGGGTGGGTGGGGTAGGGCTGGGTGGGGAGGGGCTGGTCACCCCGTGGGTGCCCTTATAAAACTCAACGTTTAACCTACTCACGTCGGCTTGTGCCCGCCGTCACAGTCGGGCATATTTGCGGAATACACCACGCCGCCGTTGACCCTGGCCATTGACCGAGCAACCCAACGTTCCTACCAGCTCCCTCCGCAGGAATGTGTTGGTGGTCGAGTTAAAATCTGATGGCAATCTGCTCCCTTGACAGGACTCACCCCTCATCCGTCTCGTTGATGATGTCGCAGATCTCGATGTTGAGGTTCCAGTCTTCGGACGGCAAGGAGCCATCTGTGGCCTTCTCTGCAGGGCGACACGAAACAAAGCAACAGAGCACACAGCTTCATATTTGACAACAAAAACAACCGCACGCATGTAGAAGTCTTTCGCGCCGCACCTAGCCGACCGTGTTCATCGAAGCTGCAGGGGAAGGACAACAAACGAAACACAAAAAGCCGTTTTAAAGAAATGAGTTTTCAATCTCGATGTGAAAGTGCATCGCTGCAGTGGCTTCCTAATATCGGAAGGAAGAGTGTTCTAGATGGCCGCAGAAGTGAATCTGAAAGATCCTTGTTCAATTGCGGTCCAAAAACCGCTGCGGAATTAAAGGGATGCAATGCAACCGTAACTACATCAAATCCGGGCCACTTTTAAACTTGTGAAATGATGGATGTTACACGCAGTCAGCCTATAACCAAATCACCCAGAATGGCCCCCTCCCAATCTCATAACAGCTCAAAAGCTAAGTCGGCATCGAGCAGGGACGGTGCTTTGATAGGCAACCATCATGCATGACAGGTGTTATAGGCTACTGTGCTACGTTGTGGGCAACAATCCATTGCAATGTTCTTCTATGCTCCCATATCTATGTTCCCCACCTTCACCAACTTGCATCGATCAGCATGGTGAAGTATGGTCAAATATCCCCCATGTCCTGCACAGTATGGGGAGGCCCTCATCCAGCTGTAGACTGACACATGGCTACATATGTACATGTTGTTACCATTGGTAATTTGAGTGGACGTAAATGTGGCATGTCAGAGCCTTTTCTCACTGTTGATAACCAGACAGGATCCTAACTGGCGATGTGAAGTGCTCGGTCAAGGTTCTGAAGTGGTAATAACCTGGCAGAGCAAACCAGCTGCCTCTAAACGGCCGGCCCACACCCGAGCGATTCAGTTCCATGCAAATTAGTTGCAACTTTGTTGCATGGAACTTAGCTCCATGCAACTAGTTGCATGCAACCAGACCGCTTGTGTGGACGTCTATGCCACCAGATGCACAATCGGATGCTTGCAGTCGAAGGCAGGGGACTTTCCAAGCAATCTGTCCAATCGCGTTTGTTGTGCGATTGTGGCCGCACAGGTGTGGACCCTGGGACAACGAGCACAGCAGAGGCAACGTCTCTCTCACGTCTCGCCTGTTTTTACAAAAGCCCTATTAATAGCAATCCGTATCAATGAGCACAGCACGGGCAATGCGTAACTTGCACCGTCATCACCATCACTTTGCACCGTTTATCGCGTTGAGCCGACGACCGCAACAAGCATGCTACCAAAATACCACGACGACGGGAACAAATATAGTTAGATGGTTTTATTCAAACAAGCGCAATTCTGTGCGTGAGCATGAATAATGTTCTGTGTACTACGTTATCATCCTTTGCAGTCAGTGCCAGGCCATTTCGGGTTAAGCATCGACATGGTTGGATATAAATTATGCATTAACATCCTTTTCAGTGCCGGTCTTTAGCGAGGGTAATTTGACTATCGCTGTAGCTGGATATGTACAGGTGGGTTCAATTTCCCGTGTGAATGCTGTGTTGAGTGCATCGGTATGCATGTGCTACGAATGCATTTTTTAAAAATCATCTTGTCAATTGTGGTAGAAAATGTTCCGTCCACCGGTCTCGTCCATACAACTGTCAACTCTTCTTCTGGTGATGTGTTCTGCCCAAGCCCACGTGCATTTCTGTGCAGTCGCGGTCCTGCGACGGCACAATTTGTCTCATCGTTCCGTGTCTGGTGTGTTCCCTCCTTCGGCTGCCATGCCCTCATCTGTCTCGGCCATCTGCTATCGTCGCTTCAAGCGACGTTTGCTGCCCATTCATTTTTTCCCCAAAAAGTCAAACAAGATGCAAAAATGCGTAAACAGCAGACGGCCACTAGTGCGTGTGCAAAAATCCATCAGTATTTCCTGAAGAAGTGCATTGTGGTCCTCTTGTCTCAGGTTCTACATCAAAATAAATTTGAGCTGTGACCCACTGACAGCAACACTGACGCAGTGACGGACAACTGGGGAACACATTCTTGTAACTTTGGACTCATCACTATAGTAGTCGCCAATGCCGAGTTAATGATGTTTAATTTGCATTTACTCCTTGATGCACATGTTGCTATTTCTGCTTCTCTGTGCAAATCCCACAATGCATCTCTTTATGCTTCTGTTCATACTTTTCAGCTTTTGTTCCAGATTCTGTATCATATGTTCATGTTTATATGATTCATATATAATGGCAGGTAATATTAAATTATTGAAAAAATATTCTGTAGGACACATTGGTATGTAGTTGGATTTCATTCACATCACCCTCTTTATGATCCTGATCCACTCCTAATTGCACGGTTATATATTTCATTTAGTACTCTACAATCTTCGTTAACAGATGACAATAATTTAAACGTGTAACATGCACAGTATTCACTCACTCACGAAGAGAACGACTCAGGGGCGCGAGGAACCAGAGAAAAGCGATGCGGTTAGCCGGCAATTGTCGAGGTTCTACAGTCCTCTACATATTTAGGTGTTCAGCCAACTAATCAGAGCACCCGGAGAAATCCAACCGTGTGCGAAGGGGGCAACACTATCCCCATATAGATAGAACAGATGGAGATTAGTCCACACTTGGCTGTATCGCCTTTACGTTGCAGGCAAGGGTATGGCTCCTCAATGCCCAAGGGAAGGGAGTTTCACTTTGTGTGGTGATGGATTAAGGGCGTGTGCGCCACCACCGCCCGGTCAAGAATGTGACTGTGGAATTCTACGATTGAGATATTTCACATCAATCATAAATCAATCAAACTTGATTTCATATAGTGCCTTTCATAATAAAATTATTACGCAGCGCTTCACGTGTAAACATAACATTACATCGTTAACATTTGAGATGCACAAACAGGTAAAAAGACGGTTCAAATATATGAGATTAGTAAACACATAATTAGCAATTTTTTCTTGTCGGTCCACAAATGTCCGTTGCTTTTAAAACAACAAATGGGTCCCTACATCGATGATGTGTAAATTTTTCCATCTGCTCCGAGCAGTGCTTGCCTCTTTAGGGGTTACTTTTGGGAGCATCCTGGCTACACCTCACCCGAAAATAATTAACCAATATATGTTTTTAGATTTAAAGCTTTCGTGACTGCAAGAATTCATACTCTTTGGTTCTTTAGGTAAAGTCACGTAGGCTGTGACGGTTCCACCTGAAGACGGAAGCTTGTGTTGCCTCCGAAACGTCGTGATTTAATTTTGTTGTTTTCATTTATTTTATTTTTTACATACGTGACTTCACCGAAAAAACCAAAGAGTATATATGTTTTTATTTCTGTAAAGATCCACGCAGATTCTGTCCCAATCGTATGTTATGGTTCCACTGTGCCCTTGGGGGACTTGACCATTTGCAATTTGACATCAACTTCCGGCTTAGTGCTTTCACGTTCACACTGCTGGTTATGGCATCTTCAACCATATTTGTGTTGTGTTCTCCAATTCATTTCCTCATTTTGGGCGCCACGGTGGCGAGATGTGAACTCCCTCGCCTGGTATGCAGGAGGTCGTGGGTTCGACCCCGACCCCAAATGCCTGCTCTATATTTGGAGTTTGCGTGTCTCTCTCCCTATCATTGTGTGGATTTGTCTCCGGGTCCTCTGGTTTCCCTCCCACATTTTTTAAATTAATTACTTACAATTAACGAAATAATAATTCGACAGAGCTACATTGGCCCCTACTAAGAAAATACTGATAAACTCAAATTATGTCTTTGAAACATAAATCGCTTGTGATAACCTTGTACTCTAAAAAATTGCACCAATACAAAAATGTATTACAGTCGTATTATGAATAATTTGACTAATTATCTGTATGCAACTAGCTGAACACATGACAGCCTGTAGCACTGAAATTAAGAGCTTGTCTTGTTGGTAGATGTCACTAACGGAAATGAGAAAAACATTGGGATTAAGGATATACACGACCGTGGCTTTGAGTGACCACAGAGGAAGTGTCGTACTTCCTGGAGATGTCACGACAGCATCATAATAGAAAGCTGGCGATGTGAAGCCTCCAGGGCTTCAAGAAACAGACAACACTCCCTCATGCCTGCACTATCGACACGAGGCATGTCAATCCAACGACTCATCGATTAACATCCATCCTGAGGTTCCAGATGGAGAAATGAAAGTGTGCACGAGAATTGGATTATTTACTGCGAATTATATGCCGCGATTTTAATCATCTGCATCGAGCAAAAAAACATCAGTTGATAAAACGCACACCCATTTGATGCATGTATTGTGATACCTAATTTATATTGACGAAGCAATGTCTAAATCATTACTTTCAGTACTATTATCATCATGCTATAATTATTACCAGTATCAACAGCAACAAAATGACATCATTATCGTCACATTTGTCAGTCAGCCTAGTTAATTAACCAAACATCCAGTTGTCCTGCCAGTGACCGCTTTCCACATGTAATTATAAATTCCACGTGTAACCAGTATAGTGCTCGCTCACTCCCCCAGAGAGAATGACTCAGGGGGAGTAAGTAACCACAGGCACGCCAGAAGTTTTCCACGTGATGAGCCAGTGCCAACAATTTCCCTCGCTCTGCAGTCCTATACATATTAAGGTGTTACATGTGTACATGCATCAAACAATATCCCTTTACTGACGGAACGGGTGGAATATCGTGCACATTTTTTTACTGTACTGCTTCCTACTGGCGAGCCGGGGTATGACACTTCAACGCCCATGGGAAGGGAGTTTCGGAACAAGCGTGAGATCTACCAATCCTCGTCTCCACTGTGCTGGATTACAGGTGTGTGCCATCACGTTCCTGTTAATGGGTTCTTGTCTGTGCATCCGTGTGTATATAAGTGGGAGTGGTAGGGTAGCGGTTAGCGCGCTGCGCTACAAACCTGGCAACCCAAGTTCGATTCCTGCTCATGGCCAACATCAGTGACGATTATCTGAACCGGTCCTTGGCAACCCCTAGGTAGACTCGGCCTCAAATGAGTACC